TTAAAAATAAAAACAACAAAGTGACATAAGTAACAGGTGGCGAGACATTAGAAACGTTTTTAGACATTTAAAGAAATGTATGTTTTACATAAAAGTGATTATCGCACTACAATTGCAAAAAAGTGTTTATATTGCACAATGCAGAAAGAGAGAGAGAAAGTGTGTGTGTGTGTGTGTGTGCGTGTGCGTGTGCATGTGTGTGTGTGTGTGTGTGTGTGTGTGTGTGAGTGTGTGTGTGTGTGTGTGTGTGTGTGTGTGTGTGTGAGAGAGAGCAGCTCTACAGGAGGATGAGTATGTTAATGGGTTATTATGCTGAGGAGGTCTGCAAATCATTTCCTGTGGGCTGAATATTTATCAGATCCCCTTGAAGTTTAGACGCCCCATTCACAAACTTTTCTGCTTTATGTGTGTGTGTGTGTGTGTGTGTGTGTGTGTGTGTGTGTGTGTGTGTGTGTGTGTGTGTGTGTGTGTGGTGTGTGTGTGTGTGTGTGTGTGTGTGTGTGTGTGTGTGTGTGTGTGTGTGTGTGTGTGTGAGGAAGCTAAAAGTAGTCAGACAAAAAACAAGATTAAACTAGTGTGTTTTCCCTTTATGTTAAAGCTGACAATTTGCATTTCCACCACCTCCAACACCATAAAGACACACAATAAAAAGTGTGAGGACTTTAATCTGAAAGTGACAAACCAGTGCAATCCATTTCAGAGTGTCAGTAGAAAAACAGTGAGAGCACTAAAAGCCGTGTGAGCCGCTGGGTGTGTGGGTTCAGAGCAAGTGTGTGTCTGCGGGCAGAAAGCTCCTACCTTCCCTCACAGACCTGCTCGCTGGGTGGTGACACTGCTGGCGAGCGAACTGAAAACTGCAAACGACAAAAGCTGGAACAACAGGAAGATAATTCACATTTGATTGGTTTCACGTGTTCTTCATAAACAACAAAGTTTTCCTGTGCCTGCAGCGTGTTTTCCTGCAAACATGGAATCCATTTGTCCCCTGTCTTCATGCCCTGTAGTTGCACAGGCTCATAGCAACACACACACACACACACACACACACACACACACACACACACACACACACACACACACACACACACACACACACAGACAGACACGCACACGCACACACACACGCAGTGAAATGAAAGCAGGCACAGAGCGAGCTCACCACTGTGGCACTGGGATCTTTTGATATACGTACGTTCAGGAACTTATTTTGAAAACAGCCACTTTCAGCTGCTAAAAATAATCCAGAGGGACCGAGAGGAACATGTGAGTGAGGCTGGCCAGATCTGCCCCCCCCCCATCAAAATAATGTCCTGACAGAGGCTTGAGTTCTTTAATGTCACTTTACTGGAAAGTGTTCCTTTGATATTCAACACATGTGAAATTGAAAGGGCTGGTCCACTGTAATACAAGAAAACATATTTTCCATTTTTACCTCTATAAAGAAAGTGTGGATTTTATGTGTTCAGGATTTTTTCATTTTGTTATTTCTATGCAATGAAAGTAAACCACTTATGAATATATTTTTTTTAATCCAAATATACAGAATTAAATAAATGCAGCTATTAAAATATATATATTTGTTCTGACTTTTCTCCAATCTTTGTTTCTTTTTGAGAAAATGTTAGTGTTACCTCTTTAAGCTCTCTCAGTTTAAAACATGTATGCACATTTTGCAGCATGCAGGGAGCCACTGACTGAACAGAGGTCAGTTCAAACTTACTCTCAGTTACATATTGCAAATTAAAAAAAATGACTTACTTACATTACTGATAATTACAAACATTAGCAATTAAGAAATAAGCAACCCCTTAAGAAACAGATATGGAAAAGTCCTTTTTAAACTAATGACATGGTCTACATGTACATTCTAGGTTAAAAAAAAAAGATTACAATGATAGCAAATATGTGAGCAGTATTTGCACATTTATTTATATATATTTCTTCTTGGAATATTGAACAAATAAAAACATGGAATAATTGAGGTTTGAAGATTTCACTCAGTGTAAAAAGATGATCAGTCAGACAGTGACATAATATGATTTAAGTTAAAGCCACATAAGATGAGTTTTAAAAGGTCACATGAATATGTATATGCTAATTGGAAAGCTGTTAAATTGCTCAAACTGAACTGACTAAACATTTCCTTTGTACGTTTTTCTACACCGCAGCTTTATTTTGTAGCTTTTTGTCAGTCAAAACAAAGCCACTTGTTGAGCGCAGTGTTACAACAGAATATCCTCAGACAATGAGCTCAGGTTACAGTCCAACACCAACTTCAGCTGTTTGTGAGTTCCACAGCCTCAGTCTTATAGCACCGGCCATATGGTGCAACAATGCAAACACAAAGGCTCTGTCCACTCTCTGTCAGCAGCACAGAGCAAGGTCACTGCTAATTACTCTAGTCTAATCATGATTTCCAGGGATTATCTGAGCCTTTGGTATTTTTTTATTTCAAAAGGGAAATACCATCTCAGATGTAGTTTCCAAATCCGTCCACAAATGTTTAGCTGAGCACATGTGGTTCAGAGAGGGCCTCCAGCTCGGGCCCTCCTTCACAATCAAACCACTTTAGTGGTCCCACAAAGCACGCTCATCCTGGAAAACACGTGACAAAAAAACACACACTGTGAGTGAGGAGAGTTTGTTCAAGTCCAGCAGGGATGCATAACGGAAGGAAAACACCTGTTGCCTTCTGAGAGAGTTTCAAGGCTATAATAAATTTAGGTTTTTTTATTTATTTATTATTTGATTAAACATAGTTTTAAAGATTAATCTGTAGGATGCCAAATATGTTTTAAAAAAGTACAACACTTTAAACAAAGAATTTGTCGTTTTTCCTCCAGCTTGAAATAACACAGTTGTTTCCCTGAAAATTAACCGCTATTATAGGCTATTTATATGCCTTAAACCTCATATCAGGACACATTATTGTACTTTTTGGTACTTTTCCCCCTCTTTTTTGTTTCAGAGTTGTGATCGTTCAACATGCTCCGTAATACTTTCACAAATCGCCTCCATGCTGCAGGATGGTGAAATAATGGCCCTGTCGCCCACCCGCATTTTACTGTGCTGTAAAAATAATGAAAGTCATATTGCGCTGCGGTCTCAGATCTGCAGGAACACGGCACACGTGTTGAGGAGGCCCGGAGATGTTTTATAAATTGATGTGAATTTTTGGAAAGTTATTTGGAGAGTGCATGCTTTTTTGGAGCGGAGCCCGGCAGTTAATATGGGGGGATTTGACCATATTTTGTCAAATATATTTGTTGTTATGGATTCAATATTTACCGAGCTGAGCACAGTTACATATCATCTTTGTCCAAATCAAGAGTTTAATAAATTAGTTAAAATATTTTCTGCTGATGAGTTTCAATTTGTGGTAAAAATAATAATGACAGAAATACAGAAAACACAAAACTTCTTTGTACACATATATCACCAAAGTCAAAAGATATATTCACATCTATAAGTTGAATCTACATTTATAAAAGATATATCAAATATTTGATATTTAATCTATATATTATCAACTGTTTGGCACGTATCCTTTACAATAACTTTTAACTTAATACATACATTAACTTTAAATCAACTTTCAAAGAAGTTTCCTGATTCGATCACAATTTAATTATGTAATTATTTAATGCTGTAAAATAATTTAGCAGTTCATTCATAAACACACGAATGAGTGAGACGAGTTTTTAGTCAAAGTCAACTTTATTATCAATATCTCTGATCGTGTTACAAACAGGGAGACCGAAGTGCGTTTCGTTGTCCCAAAGATTACACATTAAAAAGAACTACAAAAAAGAAATAGATATATGTATACAAACATACACAAAATAAAGATAAAACATAAAAAATAGGCTTTTTTATGCTTTATTTTTACACAAATTATGAATTGTGCAATTGATTAAATTGTAATAACAGTTACTCAGTGGAAAAAAGTGTGTAAACACCGGGAGCAATGACGTCATTCATTAATCATTAACACCGACTGTTTTAAGCAAGGCGTGTTTATTTAGAAGACCTTTCAACAAAAAGTCCATTGAAAGTTCTGTAGCCTACATTATAAAAGCGAAAAAGGTTTTTACAAAAAATTGTAAAAATAAAGATATATAGGCCTAATAAGCACAAGTCGAATACAACTGGAAAATTAAAGTTATTTGCGACGGATATGAAGTGTGCAATTTAGTGATGGACAGGCACTTTTTAAGAATGGTTTCAGGTAGCCTAATGTTGTTTTTACAAAACGACATTTAATTTAATTATTCTTATTATCATAATTAATAGGCTGTGTATTATACCATACTTGAATAGTCCCGGTAACACCACCTGACCTGAGCCGGTAAGTGAAGGTGTTCAGATTTCCTCAGTGTTTCTGCCCCCGTGTGGTGCAGTGAACCTTACAGTGTGTTTATCCTGCAAACACAAGCGACAGTGAACGCCTCACTAAACTGTTACATAGATAAATGATCCTGCAGGGAGAAGGGGAAATACATAGGACACTTTAGCTTCATTGAGTAGATTACTGTCCTTATCATCACCTATTAGGATTACTCTTATTAGTATAAGTAGTAGTAGTAGTAGTGTAGTAGTAGTAGTAGTAGTAGTAGTAGTAGTAGTAGTAGTAGTAGTAGTAGTAGTAGTAGTAGTAGTAGTAGTAGTAGTTGTAGTAGTAGTAGTTGTAGTAGTAGTAGTAGTAGTAGTAGTAGTTGTAGTAGTAGTAGTAGTAGTTGTAGTAGTAGTAGTTGTAGTAGTAGTAGTAGTAGTAGTTGTAGTAGTAGTAGTAGTTGTAGTAGTTGTAGTAGTTGTAGTAGTTGTAGTAGTAGTTGTAGTAGTAGTAGTAGACTACTACTACTACTACTACAACTACTACTAGTAGTTGTAGTAGTAGTAGTTGTAGTAGTAGTAGTAGTAGTAGTAGTAGTAGTTTGTAGTAGTAGTAGTTGTAGTAGTAGTAGTACTAGTAGTTGTAGTAGTAGTAGTTGTAGTAGTAGTAGTAGTATTTGCAGTAGTAGTATTTGTAGTACTGGTAAGAGAGCCTATGCCATCAAGACATTGTTAGATGTTTTCATATTAAGCTGGTCCTTTTTTTAACTTTTGTGATGTTTTTAAATTTACAAACAAGCATGAAAGATGCTGCAAAACAGTTATAAATAAATTGTTAATGACCATGATTACTTTTTTCTCTTTTAATGTTAATTTTCTCCCGGTATAAAAATGGTTAATCTTTTTAGGTATCTAGTAAATTGTCCTGGTTTCAGGCAACAATTGCTTTCTTTATTTTCTCTGCCATATGAAATGGTTGTACAGTGTTGTCAGCAGCTATTGAGAGACAACAAGCACTGGATAAAAAATGTGATGTTTTTTGCCAAATATATATACGTTTCCAGAACCTTAGAGCCCTCACATGAAGCTGCTTGTCCATAAATCTCAATTTTAATGAGGTTTTCTTCCAGGGAGCCTCATTTTGTATGACTTCATACATAATTATGATGGTAACTGTACATGATAACAGCTGTGTGAGGGAAGTAAAACCTAAGTTACTCTTGCACATGCTGTGGTAAATACATGGGAGGTTGGAGTTTTCCTTTAAAATTAACATGTTAGAAATAAAGGTTTTTAGCTAAGAAAGACATTTCTAACAAGTTAGGAGAAGTCAGGTTGTTTTAAAAAAAGGAAGGGTAGATGTCTTCATATCGAGGTGGACTTTCGTCCTCTGTCTTCTCAATCCTACAAGAATAAAACAACATGGCAGAACAGATTAAAGAGAAGAACTGGCTGATATCCAAGTGTTTACAGCCCCAATTGGTTATTCTTTAAGCGCACGTTAGGAAGCAGATTGCCCCTTCAAAAGAAAACACTGAGCAATTCCTACCTTATGTATGTGGCATTAAGCAGTGGAAAGAGACAGAAACAGGTCAGAAGTTGTGACAACTTAAGTGAGAGCTGGTGAGCAGAGCATGTGTTCATAAGATCAGGGCAGCAGTTTATAGTTATCCTAGGTTAACTGTATTATTGCTGCTGTCTGCTTTTATTAAAGTGAATTACTTTCCTGGAAACCTGCTGGGAGTAATCGCCTAAAAACAATAAAAGAAAGTGAAAACTTGCAACTTTCCACTAATGAAAAGCAGCTTTGTGTTGAGCAGAAAGTCTGTCCAAGGATATTTGATTGGATTTCAAATAATTGGTTCGTGCAATTGGTGGAAGAAATGACAATTCGCCATGTTATGATTCCCTCAGCACTTTGTTTAGGAACAGGTGGGGAAATATGATTAATGATGCCCCAATTAGCTTTATATACACTGTGAAATACCTTTAATATGACGTTATAGCGTTGACTTTGCTCAGTGAAAGCCATATTTTGATGATGCCGCTAGTAAGACTGGGTGCCAAGGGTAATTAAAAGAGAATTTGAGGAGCAATCTGGGTTTTAATCCTCCTCATTTTATTGACACAGGGCTTATTTGGTTTAATGAAAAGCCTAAGAAAGTGTTAAACACATTATATATTTAAAACATTTCTTTCCTTCTTATATTACTTTTTGACACATTTTGAAGTATAAAGATTTATACACATATCCGTGTGTTGACTTCTAGAGAGATTCATTGCGCTATAATTAACTGAGAGAGGTTTGACGGCCAAAAACACTTTGGGCCAAGTGGAAAGTGATCTTGTGGTTAATAAGAAATGAACTCTGGCACACTCTGTTTTAATGAGCACTGTGAGAAGCTGTGAGTTTTAAGCACAAATCTGACTGAAGATTGAAGATTAACTCTCTACCTCTGCCAGTTTTAGCTGCTTCAGTGCTGTTGCATGCTGAGAGAACTTCATCAAAAGTTTTAAGGGGACATTTCATGAAAAAACACATTTCTTCAGTGTTAATGCACATACATTTGGGTATTTAAGTGATTACCAACCCACAATTTGTGAAGTAAGACTACCCAGTCAGTATTTTAGGGGCTGCCAATAACATTTTGCTTCCTTTTCATAGGAAACATGCAGGTGTATATAATATATCGCTACTTAATGCGAGCTTCTCCACAAACAGCTTGAAAACTACCTTTGCAAACATGCGTCATATTTCTCTAACAATCAGAGAGTGGCTTTTAAAACTGCTTTAAAAAAAATTAGACCGAGGGTGAATAAAGGTAGAAAGACTGACAGTATTAGAAAGATAATGTGTTTTTGAACATTATTGCATTGGGAAACATTTTATATTAGTAACCAAAATAGAAGTATGAAACTGAAAGTCACCTTTAAAACCCTTTAACTGCCAGCGCCACCATTTGGTAGAGCACATTTTGTGTCTTGATATCTTGTTGAAAAAAAAGAAGTTGAACTCCATCTGATTCAGCAGCTCTACCCTTTGGTTGACGTGTTATGCACAAAACAACCTCTAGATGTCACTGTGGTTCGAACAGAAAGCCCTTCAGCTAGCTTCCACTGAGAAAGTTGGCAATGCTAAAAATCACTGCTGAAGAAATCACTCTTTTTGGTCAACTTTTGTAAGGTAACCATATCCTTTTTGACATATTTTAGTGTCAGAGCACTGACTGAACATATTTAGATAACTTGATGCACAAAAAAAGTTTTAACAAGGGTGTAATTAATTTTTTGAAAATATGGTCAACCAATCGGTCGAATTGGCTTTTTATGGTAAATTAATATGACTTTTTCAGAGTTTCAGAGATGTTTTCCAATAAAATATGGTAAATAAATGGCTAGATTCATGGTAATAGTACTAAATCTAGTACTGCCTTATGAGTCTCAGAGTGAAAGAGTGATAATCATTTATATAGCACCTTTCATGCATGGCATTCAGCCCAAAGTTGCACACAGATGAGCAAGTTAGGCCAACACAGGATATAGACATTTGCTGTTCGGCCAGTGGTTTCTTGTTAGGCCGATTCAGCATATACAGTAAGATGAGCAAGTATTTTTTATTATTAGGAAAAACACTTTACATTACTTTTTTCCATTTTTTTTTTTTACAATTATAATTTATTATCTTTTATGAATATCTGGTTGTATATATTGCTAATTTTCCATAAAAGAAACAAATGTATTTCAGTTTGTGTTTTATTTGAGTTTGATGCATACAAATACTGTACTGTATATGATGATTCTTGAAAATGCACTTTTACCATAGAAGGCCAGCTCGACCAGTTGGTAGAGGCTCATAAAAACAAAACTGTGTGGTCAGTCAAAACAAATAATTGTTTGTGGTTATTTGTGGCCCATTTGATAAAAAAATGCTAACAAATAATTTTCCATAGCTTTTTTTCTTGGTCTGGCAGTTAAAGGGTTAAGTACCCAAACTGGAAGTACACATTATTTAAGTTTTGTGCTTCCTCAAATGTCTGAACAATGTATGTAAGCAGTGTTTTATACCTGCTTCTCCTGTGCTCTGTTTCTTCTTCTTCTGCTGTGAACGCTGCGTTATCCATACAGTACCCGGCGCTGTGTGGGGAGGGGGCTGCATGGACGCCACTCACACACCGGCCAGACTGGAACCCAGCGGCCTGGTGTACTTCCCGGGTTATAAAGTCATACTGAGGTGGAAGATGAAATATTGCTGTGGCATTGTGTAACATGATTGGTGGATTTATGCCACTTAAAATGATCGAAGGTCCTATTGATGTTTGATCCATGGCAGGCGCTCCTTCACCCAGCTGTCGGCAGGGCCAGCAGTAGACCACCCCAAACCTGTAGAAGCTGATTAGCATGAAGGTGCCTCCGATGGAGATCAGGATGGGTCCTAGAAAACTGGGTCCACCCAAAGTTGGAGTTTTTCTGGGTAGTGATACCAGCCCATGGTGGTTAAAGTGGCACCCGCAAGGCCGAGGAAAACTCCTGAGAACAGCAGGAAGACTCCAGAACTTCTTGTTGTACTGCAACTGTCTGAATGTGCAGGATGTCTGACCTGGTTGGTCTCCATGACAGGCCTTTGCAACATCAAGTGAGTCCGGAAAAACCTTCAATCGTGAGTCCTCCTGGGTGTGTGACACTCAGACTGATTCTCTCACAGTGAAGTCAAACTTATACACACTGAGTAACTAAAGTAATAAATTAACCTGCACTTTAACTCTGTTTGGCACAAAAACACGGTGCAACATTATGAGTCACAATCTACAAATAGCAGCTTTTCCTTTTCAGTAAATGAACTCATTTAGACAAAAAGAGTATACAGAATAATGCATATAATAGTAATTTATGCACAAAGTAATGCTGGGATGGTGAATTGGAAATGCTTGTGGCAGATAATATGTTTCAGCAAATGTATTTTAGTGTATTAAACATCCTCCTACACAATCAAACATAAGCCTGCAGTGAAATGATAGTACTATATTTACAGAAGACCCTATAAGGCTCATATTTTAGTCAGGTATGAGACATGTCCCCAGCCCCCAGGGAGCATACCGTGAGGTATTAAGACCACGAGATGAGATTTGGTGTGTTTAAGGTCCATCTGAGAGGCACGAAAATAAGAAGAAAAGGGGATTCCTGCACGCATAGAACGTGATCCAAAAATCCACCTTGTCACATGTCATTTCACACAGACACGTCTCCCATCTGCGCTGCAATGCATAACTTATCAGCTACAGCTCGTGCTGCAATAGTTGAACAATCAGTCTAGCATGTTAAGTGGAGGGGCTTAAAAACACATCACGCTATACGTGTTACAGTCAGAGGCTAAATGGGCTGCACACAAAGTGAAACCCACACAGAACACGCAGGCGGCCCACTGAGAGAGCCTCAGCACTTCACAGGGGTGTCACTAAAGCTGCCTGTTCTCTCAGTCTACAAGTCTATTGTTTCAGTTCTCCTGAAAACTGTTGTCTGAGTGCTTTTGAAGATTGGTTTGAAATCTTACCCATTTTGAACCAATGTTTAGAAGGTTTTTTGGACCACTTAGGGTATATTTGGTTTCGTTTTTAGCGCTAGGATTAGGGTTTGTAGTTTTCTTTAGCTTGTAAATGTTTCTAATAATGCATGAACTCTCTCCAACTCTAGAAGTGTTAGTTATATATATATATTATAAATATTTTCTGTTTAGTGTCTAGGCCCCTATTATAAAGCTTTGGCAAGCTAATCGGGGTGACCCATTTCACATATCTCCATTATATCTTATGGTTGCATTTGTATTTTACAAACTTAATTTGATTTCTATAAAGCTTACTTATGTATCATACTATAGTCTCCCTTACTCAGTGTTTCCTCTCTAGGCTGCAGCAGAGCAGTCTAAAAAAACAGCTAAACATGTGTGTGTGCACTAAAAAAACACCTATGTTCATGAATTTTTAATCCCGAATGCAAACACGGTGACATGCAAACATGTTTTTCAGTTGAATTTCCTAACAGTCTGCTCTTCTCCCAGTGGACAGCTTGCATTCGCCTACATGAAAGCACGTCCGCTCTGTGTTGCGTGTCACAAACCTGCCGATCGGAAGGCAGGATCACAAGCAAAACAAAAGGAAACAACAGACTATCAAACACACAATGCCAGAGGCAGACAAACCTAACCTGTGTGTGTCAGTGTCCCTGAATGTGTGCGTCTTTCTGTCTTTATGTTTACTATAGCCTCAGTTCATTTCACTTGGCACTAATGAACAAAGGGACAGATAACTATACAAAGAATCCATATGAGGGCAGTGTTTAAAGAACCCCCCAGAATTGAAGCTGCACAGATTCTTTCAATTAGCCAACTCCAAATATTTATGGTCTGAACATTTCCTCTCTGGAAGGAAGGAGAGATCAGTGTGTGTGTTGTGTGTGTGTGTGTGTGTGTGTGTGTGTGTGTGTGTGTGTGTGTGTGTGTGTGTCCTGTTACCTCACACTGGGGTGTATTGATCCCCTGGGCCTATGCTTCATTACACTTGATCTATGCCACCATTCTACGAAAGCAAACTCGCTCTTATATCAGAAATAATCCAAGAGCAGCCACATGTCAAATACCTAGTTAAAGTTCAGCATTAATGCCACTTTAAAGATCTTTGTGCATGTAAATGGTCTGCAAAGGCTAGTTTCCTACACATTCACCTCCTGCCTGAAACCTCTTCATTAGACTCCTTTGTTTACATTACATTACAACCTAATGAGATCACTATGTAACACTCGCGCTCCTATTGGCTAGCGCTCCAACACATTGTGCGTGATATGAGAAAAATAAAGAGCTTTTTGAACATTAAATTAGTGGCACAGAATACTGATATGAAACCTGGACATTTCTTTTTACTATGTCCTCTTTAACAAATATACCGATAACATATTTGAGAATCCTAACTAGTTACACATCACTCACATTTCCATCATGCACTAATGCATCAGAAGTGCACATTGGGCCCCCAAATGTACCTCTTTTTACCTTGAGCCTGAAGCTTTTAAGTGTACAAAAAAAGTGACCTTTTCGACCTTATTGCCTCTTGTCCTTCTGTGCAAACACTGTCCTTGTCTCTTCTCCCATGTGTAAAGGATTTCCTCATCTATTTATCCAACCGGTTTTGGCAGCAACTATCTAAATACAGAAATATAGTTCTTTCCGATGTCCATACTTCAAATATACTATTGTTATATGTTTATAATAACCATTCCTCTCAGGCTCTTCCTGAGGTTCCTCCTTTTTTGCTCCATTAAGGATATTTTGAGAGTTTTTTTCTTATTCAAAGCAGGGGTCTAAGTATGGATTAAATATACATACAGTACAAAGCAACACAATTCCAGTGGCACATGCTGTTGGGCCAACACAATAGGGCCAATGGATCACTGCAGGAATTAAGATGTGACCATTTCTCAGCGATCCCCTCCCCCAAACACACGCTCACACACACACGCGCGCTTACGATGACAAATAGCCTGTGACGTGCCTCTGTGAACATGGCACGGAAGGGTCCACTCCGGGACTGAGTGTCTCCTCGCTGCATCTGACTTTCACTTCCTCTGAATCATTTCACCTTTCTAGCAGAGGTCAGAAAAAAAAAATCCAGTGGAATCAAAAGGTAGTATTCCTGTATCTGTCCCTCTCAGGATTCACATATCGTCTGACTCGACTGTATTGAATGTGTGAACTAGAGCAGGGGTACTCATACATCACGTTATGCCTCTCCACCTCTGTTTCTTACTTCTTACTTGCTACCCTTTTCCCTTAACCTATCCTAAGGGAGTGCATGTACGTAGACACGTTGTGCCTCTCCACCTCTGTTCCCTACTTCTTCTCAACCTATCCTAAGGGAGTGCATGTACGTAGACACGTTAGTTTAGCTGCTATAGGCTTGGACTGTCGGGGGACACCTTACTTCTTCCTTCTGTCTGTCTGTGTCTGTGTACTCTCATGTTCCGAATAACCCAGCTTCCCCCAAATTTCTGTTTGGTGTCTATATCTACGCCGGGATCCTGAGTCGTGGCTGATCCTGTTGCTGTGGTCCTGTGTCCTGGATCGTCTATCCTGAGTTCTGGATTTGAGTCCTGGACTTCGAGTCGTGGCTGAACCCGTCTCTGCGGTCCTGCCTGGCTCTCATCATACTACTTCCCTGATGGCTCCCACAGGATTGTTGACATCCTCGTGGATTCATCTTCTTATTATAGACACATGCATTTCCAAACATTTGGTCTACCTACGCTGTGAAATGTATTATCTCTTCGATTTACACACGGCATCTATTGCACGTCTGTCCGTCCTGGAGAGGGATCCCTCCTCTGTTGCTCTCCCTGAGGTTTCTCCCATGTTCCCTTTAAACTGTGGGTTTTTCTCCGGAAGTTTTTCCTTGTACGATGTGAGGGTCTAAGGACAGAGGGTGTCGTAGTGTCATACTGATATTCTGTACAAACTGTGAAGTCCACTGAGACAAATGTAGACATTTGTGATATTGGGCTATATAAATAACATGGATTGATTGATTGAATTAATTACATTTGAAGAGGTCCACTAACCCTAATCCCTAATATTCATCCCAGCAAAGGTCCACACTTCATAATGTCTAAAGTAGCCCACCCATATGTCAGTGAAATAAAATCAACACCATGTACTTCTTTAACATACAACAAATTGTGGCATTTGTATGGAAACCAACCTAAATAAAATTAGCCATATAGCTAGCATTATGAGGCCTTCATTGCAAATAAAAAAAAAAATACCAAAACAGTGTGGTGCAGCCAGTTATCTCTTCACAGTTTGTATACTTCCCCTCCTTTCTTTCTTAACACAATGCACACAACAATGTCTTACATTTCAAGTCAAACAGGCACAATTTGAAGCACCATTTCAAGTCAAATTAAATATGACTGAATCTCATATTCAAGACCTTTTTGAACATTACAGCATGGAGACATGTCACAGTACAGCCATACAACACAAACATGAACCTGGAAACTAGAAAAGGCATTTCCTGCTGAAAAATGCATGTGAATGCTGTAAACTGTACATTTGTTGCTGAATTAGCTGAAAATGCAGGAAAAGCTTTATATTGTATTAGTTGAATGGTCTCTGTAGCTGCTTTTAGCTACAGAGACCAAGTCAGTGTGTTGCTGAACTTAGCGGAGAAATGCAGAAAAGTGAAATTATTTGAATAAAAAATGGTTACAGCTCAAATGCATTGCAATGACTTTGTTGAAAACTTGAAAGTGAAATGTTAAACTGGAAGAGTAGGAAAATAGTGAAGAACCTTAATATTTAAAAGAAAAGGTTTAAAAAAGGTATAAACAACTAAATGTATAGCCTCAATGTCCTGAAATAGCTGAATAATGTAATAGCTTTCTGTAGCTGAAAGTAGGCTGAAGGAGTTAGATATTAAATGTAAGTAGTAGTGAATGAATGTGTATTAAGAAGAGAAAATAAAGTAAAAACGCTTTGAAGAGCAGCAGAATATTTTAGCTGCAAACTTTTGAACTAAAACCATATGTCACCAATAATGTATAAAATATGTGGAACATGTTGAAGTCAGTATGAAGTCTCCATCAGACAGAAAAGAATATGCTCCAGTCTGTGGGTGTTTCTCAATGTCGAGGACACTTGCTTGGTAGCACATGTCTTCCGAGTCACTTGCTTCAGAAGCGAGGCAAGAATCCTTCCTAGCCTCGGAAAACGAAGAATTGTGGAACAGGCTAACAGGTGTGCAGGTGTGCGTCATAATGCGAGGCCCCGCCTTAAATGGAGCGCGATTTCCGCCAAAGATTTGGAAATTGGTCCGTGCGCAAAGCTTTGTGGGGATTTTAAGGCCGCGGAGTCTACACATGTGCAGCCTCGAAATTTCCCCGCTACGAAGTATGCCGGCCTTGGTAGAATTCCAAGTATGCTGGACATTGGAACAGTCCTTCGGCGGCACTCAATGACGTAGTATGCTTGAAATAGTGGCTCTGGAGCAGTCTTCCTCGACATTGAGAAACACCCTCTGTGTTTGTGTTTGAGGTGACGACGTCAACAAACACCTGTGTGTGAGCCCAGAGATCAAAGGTTACCATGGTGACGACGTTATCAAACTCCTGTGTGCAGAGATCAGAGGTTACCATGGAGATGTGCAGTGATCAGTGAAAGGAGAGCCTTTCCATTGATGTGAACGAGAAATAAACCTCTTACATTTCTAATTATAGTTAAAACAACGGTACTGCTATCGGTAAAATGTCAACGCGTGAAGCATGTCAAGGACCCTGAGTGTCTGAAGTGTGCTTTTTGTGTACTTTCGGGTCAATAATGTGGCATTTTTGGCATACTTATTAAAGGTGTGCAGCTGGTGCTCTGAGGAAAGATCAGGCTGAATTTACAATGGGCCTTAATGGAGACATGTTGAAAGTTTTTGTCTCTTCATGCCCTCAAGAGGCATTTTGTTAAAAATAAAATCTTAATTTTTTTTAATTCTTCAACGTAGGAGAGGTTTTCCTACGTTGTTCATGAAAAATGATGTCCAAGGAGTGTAGGGTTTGGGAATTATGGCAGGTTTAAAAAAAGAATGAAGGCGAATTTCAAGCTCTGCTGCACTCTAGCTGTGACATCACGCACTCTAAGCCTTAACGAGCTGCGCAATACACACTAACGTTAAAATCTGAAGAAGGCCTCTTTACCAAGCTCCAAACTAAGTTAAATATCTAAAAAAGTGTAAAAGATATCAAAGATCTGAAGAATACATTTTATAGCTGAAGGTCTTGTGACCGTTTTAAGTCTCTAGCTGAAAAGTATGTGGAAGGAGTAGCATTTGGTGCACGGTGTAGGTAAAAGAGGATTTGAAGGTTCCTCCCATTGAGTTAAATGTTAAAAAAAAGGGTTTAAAAAGCTGAATATTTCAAAAAGTATAACATCTTTTTGAAAAAGTTGAAGGTTTCCCATCAAGTGCTGAAAAGGCTGAATATGTTGATATTTGAATGGTTTCTGTAGCTGAAAGTATATGCTGAAGTTATTGGAAGGCAAAAAACGTACGGAAGAACTGAAATAAGAAGATGAAGTTGAAGAATAAAGATTTGAAGAACTATAGTGGAATGCTGTAAACAGCATTCACACTAATTAGCATTACATTTCCTTTTTAATTAACAAGGCACACAAACTTGAAAAATTCCCCAGGAAACTGAATTCCAAGAAACCTATTCTGCAAACTTCTACACTTCCTTTATCAAAAGTAATTTATAAAACAGAAAACCGTCTACAAATGATCAATAACAATTTTTAACTCAATGGAGTACTTCCAGAGCAGAAGGTCAGGGCAAAAGCAAATTTGAACATGGGGGATAGTACCCATGTTGAACACTCTATATCTATATATATATATATATATATATATATATATATATATATACCTTGGTGGCGCAAATGTCTCCCCAATTCTCCACTAACAGAAGAAGCCATTTCTCTGATGAACAAGGACCTCAATGACAAATCTATGCTGTAGCGCGGCACATTAGGAGAAAAATTGTACTTTCTTTTTGACTATTCCTTTTTCAATTATATGCATAGAAATACTTCGCTTCAGTTTTGGACCTGAACGACTCTTTGACTGAGCAACTTCACGCATGGTTCTGGCTTAGAGGCCCCCTGAGAGGTTTAGCAGTAGGCCCATTCAGTAATCCCCCCATGGAGAAAACACACCTGGGTATTTGTGATGACATGTTACACAACAAATGTCCTTTTGAGCAGATACTTGCTAAGCAGCTGCTGTTAACAGATTTACATCTTCTGACTTCTGGCAACAATACCCAACATCTATTAAAACACTCACATGTGTTTTGAATATGATGGATTGGCTGATTATAAAGTTGGTGATACGCCGGTGTCAGCCAGATTAAATACGTTTGTCCAAGTCCTTTTGAAGTAATACATTATTTGTCAGTTTGATTAACAGTGAATTGTGTTCATGGTTTTATTGGCAAAATAAAACAGTTGAAGGGTTCTGCTTGAGGAAATTTGACAGATTCCTTTGAAAGGGAGTCTGACGTGATCCGGGTTTGAGTTATTCTAAAGAGGTCGTCTGGGTTTTGGAGTTAAGCAGGAGTAGCAAAGGAAAAGCAGCGTCCATATTAGTGCAATAAACCTACACCATGCATGTTTGTTCAGATGGCTTTCCTAGTGGTGAAGAGGGAGATCAAATAGGCACATCAATTCTCAATTGTCCATAAATGTTACTGATGTGGGGCTCGCTCGCTGGATCCTAGAATAACTCAAGTCTATGGTTCCAGTGGGCCTTTGGACAAACATAACTGTGATGCCGAACAACAAAGACTAAATGCTCCCTCTGCTCCACTGTTTCACAGAGATGATTCAGACCCTCTTAATGGACACCAGACAGATCCACCATCCAGAGCACAGAAGTACACTCTAGTTTGACATTTGGGAGAAGATCAATCCCCTGATCTAAATCATTAACCTTTTCTTCATCAAAGAAAATATATAATGTAAAGTCTGACTTATATGAATATAATAATATATTTTGGCTAGTCTAGATTTAGTCAACTGTAATAACCAGATGACTGAAGAAGGACATTTGAGACTAGACTCAGAAGACAAAGAAAAATAACTGTGAATACAAATGTGGATGAAAATTACCCTAATGACTTAAAGGTTGACTAACATTGGATTACAAAGCTTTGAGTTGTAGACTAAACTCCTACAACTAGGAGGGATAAAAATGAATAAAATGTTACTCAAACTTATAAGCATTTCTGCCTTAAGAGCAACACTAATACGACCTCCAAAAAAATGACTCTTAGATCTGAGCCTGGCTATCTGTTCCAACGCATGCAGTCTTTAAGCTAAGCTAACGTACTCTAGCCTCATTTAGCATACAAGAGAGTGGAATCAATCTTCTCATCTAGTTCTTGCCAAGCAGGCAGATCATGTCAAATAAGCTTTCTCCATCACGTTTCCCTCTAGAAGGCTGCTACTTGTGTGATCAACGCACTCAAATCCACAGATCCGCTCAACTTGTTTAAAATGCCTGACCACACACGAGAGTCTACATATGGACCAACAGATTCTGAATATGACTTCAGCTCAGATATCTCACTTTGGCCTGTAAGAGAATAACATCATACAGGAGGAAGCCTAAGATCTCCTTCTCCTCGTCTGAGTGAGGCGGACAGGGAAAAGTGGAGTCAACACTGATGGCTCACACATGTGGCTGTGAAAAGGCAGCTCAGGCGGTGAATTCAAACAGCGAGGAGGAGGTCTTCTGGCCGAGGGACACAAGGCATGACTGAGTGTGTAAATATGGACAAGGTGTTGATGTAGTGCTGAGCGTGGACGCACAGTCATGCATACATCCTCCTAAGCAAAGCTCTGTATGAGGTTCCTACATTAGAAACATGTGTGGTGGTGTCTAGCTTTGTTTTCATGCCCGGTCTTCCTGCATGGATTGTGTTTACTTAAAAGAAAAAAAGGACAATAGTCTTTCTCTTTTGCTATTGAAAATCCAGACTTTTGAGCCTACAACAATTCATCAGCATATTTGGCAGGGATTTAGATGGATATTTGCTACATATGCTTAGGTTTGGCGTTTTGGAATTCACCAACAGTGAAAAGAGAGGTTGGAGCAAAGCACAACACACAAGGGGACCAGTATGTACAAATGCACTTTCATTAACTGAAAACACATTGCTCAAAAGGTTGAAGATTCCAAGAAAAAACCCTAAACACCCAGACTGGACTACACCATGGTAGCAACACACCAATGACAAGGTAGCAGGCCCTAAAGCAAACCCTGTTTTGTTGTATATTTGACTCTAAACAGGAACATCATTTACAAAAAGAACATCATAACGTTATGCCAAAGACTTGAAACTAGCGATTTGGGCAACAAACTCATGTTTACAATGTCCACTCAGGTAATATACCAAGTTAAAGTAAGGTGCATTCCTCATAGACCTCTAAACAATCAACCAGACTTCTTTCTGCAACCACCATAGTCGACCCTGCTACATATCAGCGATTTCAATTTCAAATAACTTTTCAAACAGCTAAGGTTGCAGCATGGTCAGAGCCCCCACCCACCGTTTCCTGCACCTATGCCTTACTGTCAGAACAAGTGTCCATTAAGGCAGAAAATGAGATCTAGAGAGCATCTTTCAATGGGATCAGGCGTGATGCTAAACCGGACCAGGTGCATAAAGTGGATGGACCAACAGTATCTAAGCCCTGTTCTTCAAATTCAACTTCAAATGAATCTCAACCACACAGCTCTGTTGCTGCATGTTGAACGTTACACTGTTGTAGTCAACAAACACAAAATCAGTGCAGACACACACACACACACCCACACAGACTCACATGGTGAAAATAACATCTTTGTCGCTGTCGTTATAGAGTACCAATCAAATCAGTACATTTTGAGATATGATTGAAGCTCTTTCTAGATCTCTATGGCGAGGCTAAAAGAAACACACAGAACACCCTTAGTCATTTTAATATATTTGTATATATTCATATATTACACATTTAATACAGGCACAATGAGCAATCATAAAGTTGAGACAGAAAGTGGCTGAGATATTGGTAAAAATGTACAATTTATGAGAATCATTTACACAATAATGCTCTCTTTAAACTCTGTCCAATACAACATATAAAGAAAGAAAGGATGTGAAAGTGAGGAAAAAAGGAGCCTCTTTACTTTGTTTTGTACTTTTCGTTAGGAGAGCAAGAACCAGCTTGCTAATACTGAACATGAAATCTGTTGACTTGTTGTTTGTATGCATTTGGCTGTTCTGATAAAAACCACAGGTATACTTTATAAAGGGAAACGCAGAGCTACATGCTGATGTCTCACTGTACAAATGTCTGGTGCTACGATGGTGTGAACTCATTCGTTTGGAACACCTGGTTAAAGTTCAGAGTGACACAACACTTCAGCATAACAGACTTAAATGGATGTTTCCATCAGCCACTTAAGGATTATTGTTTGCCTCTAGAATATGAATAAAGGCTTGAATCGTGTTCCAGAGTTGTACAAAGCTGGTAATGATATGAAGAATGGAATCAAATAAATGATCATTTGACAAAGGATGAATCAAGTATGGATATGAGCTTAAATGACCTGCCATATTGAGCCTTTTCTATGGCTGACGGTTAAAAAAAAGCCTGATGTGAAAAGTTATTTTCTAAAATCCTATCCAAGAGGTCAGTTGGCCAAATGAGGCACAGTGTTAGAAACCCCTGCCCTAAAAAGTGTCATCAATTTTGAATCACAGCTTCCACGTAACCGACTACATCTCCACACATACCAGCATTTGAACCAATTAAAGGATCATTACATGGTTTGGACAATGAAATACATAAAAGTACTCCACCAAGAAGTACAGCAGCCTCTACAGCAACCTTCATTAGTAAAAGACAGAAATGAAGCACCGAGAGTCAAACATGGTCATTTTCATCCATCCATCCATTTTCTATACCCGCTTGTGCTGTTTATAGTTAAAAGAGGCTTCTCCCAGCATGCACTGGGTGAAAGGCAGGCCAGTAATGTATCACAGGTCAATAGCAGTACTGTGTCACAATATCTAACCACAGTCAACAACACTCAGCGTCAACACGTTGTGATTAAGGCATTTGCATCATTACTTTGGCCTTATTGTGCTTCTACTCACTTACATTGTGAGAGAGGGATAAAAGTCAACAGACGAGTGTTGAATAGAAAACATACAAGCTATAAAACAGTTTGATGATTCAATTCAATCAAATAAGGCCAATGTGACTCATTCATTGCTACAGTTGTAAAAAGAGGAGATTTTCCCTTCAACATCCAAATAGTAGAAGTAAAAAAAGAAACTGGCACATTGTTGGTGCTATTCTCATTGACTGTGTTGTAGTATACAAACAAGATGAGAGAAAAGTTAGATTCAGGCACATTTCTCCATTAATAGGGCACCAAAGTTTGATAAAAAAAACACCAGTTTAAAAAAAGGCTGCAGGTTATTTAGGGTAATCTCTCTTGATTTCGTTTCTTTTAAAGCAACTGACATTTGACACAATGTTTTACAGTCAAAAAGTATAAAAATGAAGGGCTTAAGAATTGTAAAAATATAAGCCATGACTGAAAGGGGAAACATATAGAATTTTAAAAAGATCCCACTGATCACAGACCCCACTAGGGGCGATTCAAACCTACCCACATGTGGGTCAATCATTGACGCACGTTTTTTGCCTTTTGATCCACAGAATAAGAGGAGGCACTGAGGTCAGATTTTCTGCATTTGTTAAAAAGCACTTGTTATTTGAAGAAATCAAGCTTGTGCCATAGTGTGAGTGTGTGTTGAAGAGAGATTATACCTTCATTGCTTCATTGCACGTGATGAGAAAAAGACAAATCATGGAAAGAGAAAGACTCAGTAAACAGAACTGATTTGAGCGTTGAGTCAGAGCTGGTCGAGCAGAATAATCAGAGTTAATATTTACAGTTCACAGAAAAGAGGAAAGAGCAGATTCTTTTCTTCCACGCAGACATGGTTTTGTTTTATATTCCCTATAGACTCTTGAGAAATGACTATAAGAGGAAGAAGAGCATGTTAAAGATTGTTAGTGCACTTTTTTTTTTCTGATTTCAAATACAATATAGATTTATATCTAATTCATAAATTGTTTCTGACTATACAAAAGTGAGTTGATCAGAAGCATTATTAGACTTCATATCTACACATTTCCTGAAAGCTCGTCTTCTTTTATTCTTTTTTTTTTAAACAGTGTTCAATACTCAGTGCTGTTTTATTGTAGTGAGATTCTCGCCTCCCGGGCAAAAGATGGATCCAGAGGTTCAGGAAGCCGTTTGTGTCTGACAACATTTGATTTCTTGAGTGTTGGGTCCCCTCAGCAATCGGCCATATAACGTCCTGCAGAACAGAACAAAGGTTTGAGTTGCTGGAGCATTACATGAATATCAGGGAGGTAAGGATGATCCAGCACCACATACCTGTAGCAAACCTCTTCTTGTTGAGAGACAGTCTGTACCCCGCCCCCACCAGCTCCATGTCCGCCCCTGACAGGGTGCTCCCCTCACTCATAAACTGCACTGCCAGGGTGGAGAAGCTCGAGGGTCCGTCTGACAGTTCAAACTTGGCCCTCAGGGACCCGGCACCTGGGGGCAGACACAAATACAAAATGGACAATGACGTATCTCCAACGAGGCGTTTTTGGGGAGGTATTTTATGTGTTAGAGTTTTACTCGCTACAGGGTGTACTTTGAGGGTTTGACTCTGCACACCGTTTACATGCATAAAAACCTTCATAACACACAAGGGGACGGGTAATAACCGGAAAAGCATGACACCTCTCCTTTAAACTCCAAACAGCAAGGAAAGTGCAGATATATTCACTTCAAGCAAGGCAGACCATTGTAAGTGCTGGTGAATCAGTTACAAGGCCTACATTACATTTTTAAGTGCTTTTTTTGTATTTTTGATCCCCAGCTCCTGCTGTCAAAATCCCCAAATTGCTCCCATGGCCATTGGTTTGTGAACGTGTGATCATGTTAGATTCATGAGCAGGTTGCACAAAAAAACCTATCAATAAATGTATTGTAGGGAGGCTGTGGCTCAGTGGATAGTGTGCTGGACTTCGAAACAGGGGATAACAAGTTCGAGTCCCACTGCAGTCAGCATGTCGTTGTGTACTTGGGCAAGACACACCTCAAATTGCTCCTGTGGGGATTGTCCACAGTACTGAATGTATGTAAGTCGCTTTGGATAAAAGCGTCTAACAAATGACATGTAATGTAATGTACAGTATTATGTCAACACATTTCACATAACTGTATTAGGTTAGTTGAAACATATAATATTAAAACTTAATGTTATTGCTTTCAACTAACTGTATACAGTTATGTGAAATCTGTTGACATAATATATTTAATTAAAGTCAACGTTTCTGTTTTTTCAGAGCAGGCTGCCTTTGTATGAATGTGTGTGAAAGCTGAATTGAATGTAAAAGCGCTTTGAGGGGTCTCAAAGACTGAAACCGTGCTTTGTAAATACAGTTCATTGTCTGTTCATTTGCAAACAAAGAAGAAAAGCAGGATTTACCTTCATTTTCAGACTTTTCCGAGATGTCACTCAGCTTCCACAGACACTTATTCTGCTCTGCATTCCTAAAATAAGAAACAAGAAATGAAATATTAGCTGCTTCTGTTCAGCGCCTCACACTTTGTGTTCTCCCACAGCGTTTACCAGATGGAGTTGGGCAGGGAGTGCATGTTGGTGACCCCCCCGTCCACAGGCACTAGGATCTGGACGTTGGACAGGGGTCCGGGGTGGGCCATGGACTCGGGGTTGTAGCGGTAGTCCACCCGCAGGTCGGATGTGCTCGGCGTGCACTTCCAGTACACGGCCAGGTTGAGCGGAGTGGAATGGATCCCGTCTGACTGCACCTGAACGCAGCAGTAGAGTGGACATTTAGAACATTAGATAAGAATAAAGCTGATTCAAATTTGAGCAATTAGAGTAATGAAATGAGACTATGTTTAAAATCCAAAACTGAATTAAAAAGTATTATTTTTGCAAGCTGGATTTAACATTTTGAAGATGATTGTGTTTAGATTTGAGTGCTGCTTGAAATCTGGGCTACAACAATTTCAATAGCAATATTGTATGTGTTGTATATATTTTGTTTTTGTGTCCGTTATGAAAACTTGTATACTTATCCCATTTACTCTGTTTTCTTATTTTCAAAATGTTCTATGTATGTATGTATCACCTACTTTCATTTTGTATTTAGTTGTGTTCTTTCATGCTGGGGTGGGGGTGGGGGTATAATGAATCTGCTTCAGTCTAGTGGAGATGTGCACTGTTGCATCTACTGTATGTATTTGACTGCTCAATGACATTCTGTATGATATTTCTTTATAATGAAAACTTTCAAAAAATGAAAGTGTTAAAAAACTATTATTTGAATATTGCAGATGTGACACAAACAGATTTAGTTGTTTTATGTTTTTGAAGTACAGAATACAAGCTAAAAAAAGTATACACCATGTGATCTCAAGTCTTAGGTAGGAAAAAGAAATCTGGTTACACCGTTGAACATAATTGATATCAACATGGGTTTTTGAGTATTTTTATCAAGATTTATTCAACGTTTTTCTGTATAGTGCTGACAAGTTGGATTTTATAGGTAGATTTCACAATAACTTTTTTATGCACAGGGACATGCAATATAAACTAATGTCATCATGTAAATAAGCTGGTTTGAAGCTGTAAACAAGACTTTTAGGTTTGTTTAAAACATGATGTCATCCAGTGTGGGCATTCGCGTGTGAGGCTCCACCAGTGTAGGACCACAGTAGGCTTATAGTATATAGCTGAGGTCTGAACCAGACTATAACATGATGTTAGAGCAGTACATTACATTACAAAGTTAGGGACCACACATTAATTACATTCCTAACTGGCCCAGGAAGATTGTGTGGCAGGAGCAGAGAAAAAGGTTCAAACTAATATTATGAGAAAATGTAATGTTAATGGCTGGAGGATCCTTTAGACCTCTGACACACAGCAGTAGGAAAATACTCTGATACCATTGTTATTACCTTTTATTATTTAAAATATCAAAGACACTCTGCACTGGCTGTACCTCACCAGGATCATTTCTTTAGCTTTTTTCTTGTGAAACACTTCAGGAAACACATTTTAATTTTAAATATAGTTATTTTAATCCGGTTTATGTTATGGTCTGGCCTTTGGCGGACTCACCTGGTATTTTAGGATGTCCACGTTGTAATAGGAAGCTGTGGGATTCTGATCTGAGGCTTTTCTGAGGTAGGACGTCAGCGCTTGCATGTTGAACCAGAAGTCCTTGGAATTTGAGTCACTTTGGGAAGGATCACTAGATAAAAAGACAATACAATCAGAAAGATATGTGCACACACTCAGAATAATCAGAGGCTCAATTATTCATCGCTCTTTTGGCTTTGTGTGCTAAGCTCCAATAGCTTGGAAAAAATGACCCTGTTGTATCTAACCAGCTACTAAATCATGAATTCCATTTCATTCCAACCATGCACTGCACTAGAAAACATGTACTTTATCTAAACTTTTGAAGAACCGTTGTGAACATGTCACATTCAATTAGTTTAAAAAAGTTGTAGTTTTAAAATAGAAACAAAAGAAATAGTGGAATTTTGAATCTTGCACTGCATGTGAAGTAAAATACACGTCTGACAGACAAAAGAGGTGAGACGTAGATATGTTGGATTAAGCAGCTGTTATATGAAGTTTGCTATTTCAGCGTGTGAAGTATTTCAGAAGAGACGTGGGCTGATGAGAGGCCGGCTGTTAAAGCCTGCTGGAAAATACTTCCCTGACAGCCTAATGATAGGTTTATGTCAGATTACTAATTGAATTTCCTCTTACTGACGCAGACTACACTTCCTCTGCTCTCGCGTCCAAATCCCTCTTTCACTTAACCACCACTCTGGTTCATTTTTTCGTTCTTCAGACTTCTTTAAACATGTTTGACACACTCCTGTGGACAGCTCACCTGTACAGCAGCTGTTGGTTGGGGAGGATCTGCTCCAGCCTGCTGGTGTTCTTCAGTTTGAAGGTGAGCACGGCGGGGGAGGGGTTGGAGGTGAACACCTTGATGATGCCCATGGGGAACGACAAGGTCATGTCTCCTGTGATCTTCACAATGCACCTGTGGAACGCAGACAAGTGAACGTGAATTATGAATGTCAGAAAATAGTTTTCTCAGAGCCCCTCTTTTGTATCAATGACCCCATCAGACCTGTTTTTCCATCAGATTTCCATTTGTTTTGAACCAGAATAACATCAGGAGCTTGTAAAGGCGCTTTTCTTTTCTGTGGAACGGCCTTCTGAAATGCTTTTCTGCATCTATAAAAACTGTATGTTGATTTAAAGCCAAGCTCAGGCCTTTGAGGAGCATATATGGATGTGTATGGACTGTGTGTATAACTGTATATGGTATTTATTTTTATTGTTTGATGTTCTTTTGGCTCTTTTTTTTCCTTTTCAAATGTCCCCCGGAATAAGGAGTAAATATATAAATAGTATCTATTTTTGTTATATTTTTTCTATACCGCTGTGTTGCATATGCTAGATGTTTTTCTTTCTTTTCTTTTGAATACATAGCACATTGTAATTACATGAGGCTCTATAAATAAAGCTACATTTAGTCATCAGTCCAAAACCCATATACACTATTTTATTTAAAAAGCAATGAGAGATTAGTATAAAATGAACACATTTAAGAAGCTGGAATGAGAGCCTGTTTGGATTTTATTCTTAGAAAATCCATTATGAACACTAGAGTTAATCACTCCTATTACTGAGAACAAAGCTTACAGTAATAGGACATATTTGTTGTGATTATATATTGGCTAACACATCTCCATTTCCACCTTTCTTTACGCACATCTGCATGCTTCTACAGTAACATAAATCCAGCTTCTCCTCTCAGTTGAGATGTGAGTCTGCGGTGGTAACTGTCCACAGCGTGTCTGAACCTCGCACCGTGTCTCTGCTGCATTGCTTATGAAACGTTCCATTTACTAAGCCCTGCACAAATAAGCCTTTTGCACAGCAGCAATTTAACAGCAGTTAACCAATAAACGGCTGTATGTTTTCTCTGCCCCGGACTATAATCTGCCCCATGTAGGTTATCCACTCTGAAAGAATGGTGTCAGACTCACGCAAAAAAAATCCACACATGCCGAGCGAGAGGGAGGTGCACACACACAACCAAAGGCTCTGAGTGCAGTGCACATCATGCAGAATGACAGCGTTTAACTCATAACGTCATTCGTGGTGAAGTTTAAGTTCAAATATGGACAAAAATTGCGTATGCGTGCAGGTCCATGTTTGGGCCTTTGAGCAGCAGGAGGTCATGTGAGACTCACTTAGTGGGATCAGCGCCTTTGAAGTAAGCATTAACCGATTCTGTGAAGGCCACGGCAATGGGCAAAGCATCTTGGGACGCCAGGGTCACAGGGCTGGGGCCGCGAGACGTTCCTGAGAAAGAGAAAGGCGCAGAGTGAGAGGCCTGATCGGACTTTTACACCAGAGCGCACATCAGAAGGCTTGACCATGCAAAGATGCATTATATAATAGAGAAGTATTACTGCAATTCAGTCATTCATACATTTCAAATCAGTACATTCTGTTCATTTTCATAATGAAGAAAACCTTTTGAGTAGATCATGCTCCAGATTCTATACTTCAAATTAATGATATTAGTTATACATACAGTAGATCGCTTCAGACAGCATATTCAAAGTTAAGTCAACAAAATATTTACCAGTCAAATCATTTCATTACGTCGTTATTTTAACAACAACATTTGTATAATGTTAGGAGTTGATGCAGTCGGAGTAGGGCAAATGTGAGAAATGATCTGAATATGTGAGAGCACACAAGACAAAGAAATGCATCACTGCAAAGCAACACATCCAGCAGTCCATCCAGTCAAACAGACTGGGGTTAGTTCTAGTTAAATACAGAGGAGGGTCCTCTTGCAGGATCTCAACCATACCTGCTGGTGTTTCACACCGCTTCTCAAAGGTAGGCAGCTTGGCTATGAACGAATCATCCTCTTTACGCCAAATTAAAGCGATACAAAAAAGAAAGAATGAGATCAAAGAAAAACCCAGAGAGCACAAACATGATAATGCTACGCAGTGTGATGTGTGAGAGTGACAGGTGAGATGTACAGAGCAGAGAGCATGGCCGTAAGCACCATGGAAAGGAGTGTCTCTGAATGGAGTTTGGAAAGGCGGACTCACTTTGGCTTAGAGGAAAGAAAGGAGAGACGAAGAGCAGCTCTTGCTCTGGGGAGGAGAGGGGGGGGGCAGAGGGGGGCTCAGCTCCTGTGAGGAGAGGAGTCAAGGGAGGAAGGAGGAGAAGCTAATCGTATGCAGGGACAAAAGGTGGGTGGAAACTTGGTGAAGAGTTGAAAAAGGAGATTCTCTGTGTCCAGAGGGGGTCTAGAGGGGGCTTACCAACAGAGGGGGTGTTGCCGGCACTGAGTGAGGCATTCGAGGACAAAGAGGAGGAGCTCTCCGCCCGGGCAAGGGGCGCAGCGGGAGGGGGGCTGGCATTGGAGGTCTTGGGTGGGCTGAACGGCCGTACCTGAGTGAAGGGAGTCATAAATAGGATGTTATTACAATGTCAGAATGTTATTTTTATAGCAATCAGTGTTGTGTTACTGTAGTGACTCACAATCTCATTGATTCCTGTGAGTTTCCCTGTGGGGAGTTTGGGCCTGGAAGAGGGTCGGGGTGGGGGCACCAGGGCTCCAGCTGTGAGGGGGGGTGGTTGGTCGATTTGGTAAAGGCACTACACACAGAAGCACATGGAGGTTTTACTGGTTGGTGGCAGAAAACAGCATGTATGCACTGAAATGAATTCAAGGAGATGCAAAAACATCATGCATGAAGAATAAAAAACATAATTGCAAAACATGAAAATCATTACCTCACAAGAAAAACACATTCCCAAATGAATTTCACAAAAAGAAACTCAAATACAAACATGTTGCAAACCAGGCAGGGAGTTAGACAAGCATTTTCCTTGAAACTAAATGAAAACACTGCAAAAAATACAAACTTCAACTCCACAATAAAACACATGAGAACATAAAGAAACGGAACAAAAATAGAAATAAAACTCCAAACTTCAGGCACATCACAACCTTAGCATCAGTTATAATGTTACCATTCAATATTTTGCCTGTTTGAGCTGCTGCCATCGCCCTCTCTGTAATCCCAGAGAAGACGTCAGTAAAGCGGGGGTCTTCTCTGCTGCCGGACGTTTTGCAGTATGCGTCGGCAGAGTCGTCAGAGAGGCAGCGGGTGGACCGGGGGGGGCCGGTGTGGGGCCTCTGGAGCTCCTTCACACTGAACCCCTGACGGCGCGCTGGAGCTAAGTTATCACTGAAGGCGATCCACTGGCTCTGGGACCAGCTGACGGAGGAGAAGGCGTCGCCGCTCTTTGGGGGGCTGGCAGCTGAGGGGCTTCTGATGGGGTCGATGGGCTCCGTGGGCAGGGTGATGGGGGCGCTCTGGGCCCTCGCTGGCACGGGCTTGAGGGCTTGGAAAGGGTTTTCTGGGGAGTCCCAGGGAGAGGAAGTGGACGAGGAGAAAGAGGACACTTCTTTGGATTGCTGGCTCTCTGCCAGAGGGGGGGGAGCGCTCCCGTTGTGTCACCGCCTCAGCTGGGGGGGGGCGCGTGAGTGATAGAGCGATAAACATGATAAAGCAAAGTGTAGACAGGTAACAATCAGACATGTAGTTACATGTTTAACAACATTTTTCACATTAGTTAACAATACGAGATGATGCTTGAGTGCCCTTTTCATTTGGGATTGGTTTGCTTCTGTGTTGATGCAGTTCAATGTTGTTGACCAATAAAAATAGGTAGTTCTGCAGGTCTTTTTTTTTGTATGCAATTGGAGATGATTTGGCTGGAGTCGTCTCAATGTTGCTTGTAACAACATATTGTATTACTGATTGCCAAACCTTATACAACTCACATATTTGAGTAGTATAGTGAGTTATTTAAAGCATTTGGAGAACTTTCCTATGCTTCTGTCCAGTATTTCCCCTTTTTTATTGCTATTTTTTAACATCCCAGGGTGAACGAAATATTAAGCACCTCTCTGGTACTGAATTAAAGTAGTCTTTATGTCTTTTCTAGGTGTTTAAAACATATTGTTTATCCACTTTAATCGTCTCACACGCAGTAGGGGTTACTTTAACAGAAATAAACCGATATACACATTATTGAATCTTTAGTAAGTGGCTGTTACTTCACTGTCTACAATACTACATTTTGTTTTAACTCGAAAAGGGAATCATAGATCTTGTGTACCTATGTTAGCACACTGCAAGTTTAAAGCACAGGCACAACTCTGAGTATCCTTAGTTTTGAGGAAATATGACGCATATTTGAATTGAAAATGTATCCTCTTATCAGGAATAAATGAGCAAAGCGATGAACCTGATTTCTGACCCACATGAGGACACACATCCTGATTATTAGAGTGTCATACCTGTCCACATGCATTTCAACACAAATCTGACATAGATACCATGCAGAGCGGTAGTTGATACATGTGTGACGGTCTGATAAACGGGGCACACACTCTTTACCTGATGCCTCTGGCAGAAAGACCTCCGACTCATTCATCAGAAAAGATGGAGATGGAGGGATTGAAAGGAAGATAGAGGCAAGGTCTAACAAGAAAAGTTCAAATGAATAAATAAAACAAACAAGGAACAAACATATTTTTTAAACTCAGACAAAAATGTTGGAAGAAAAGCAAAGGAATAAAACAATATGTAAAACAAATGAAAATGTACAGAACAAAGCAATAAATATATGAAAACAAATCGTGCACATGCTGCTTGACTCAGTGAGCACAGACGCATGTATGGTGTCATGTGTGCTAATACTGCTGCACTGTCCACAGAGAGATTTAACAGGCTGTGAGCAGGGCCTTAATTCCCATCACAGTATCTTAATCAGGGCACTCTGCGATGCTCTTTTGACTTTTAAGCCGAGACCTTCGACAGTAACGAGACAATGTTTGACAACATACGTGCCAGGGGGCTTTATAGCCGACCCCCTGACCTCCACTAGGTGCCAATTAACTGTGGATTACGCTTAGCCTAGGCAATGGGTCAGCGCTAATGTCACTCTGTTTAAACACTGGTGTCATGCATGGAAAGCCATGAGAATCACTCTATCAACACTTAAAAGTCCAACAAACACTTAGAGAGCAGTATGACTGTAGAGACTTCAGGGAGATTTATATGAAACAGGAGGGGCACAAGATTTGAAAAGGATTGTAAAAGTAAAAACTGTGATAGCAGCGGTTTTAATTCTCTAAGGCTGAACATGCTGTTGACCTCAGGGGTTAGTTCCTCTAACTGGGACTGCCCTGAGAGGAAAGTCATCGACTGAGTTCCTAAGAAGAACAAGAGGAAACGGGAGACTACAGAAACAGCCAAAAGGACAGGATCACTGGCTCAAATGTAAAACCAGTAAACCAGTAAAAACCAGAATGCTTGAAGCATACTTAAAGTTATCATTTTAGAGACTTTTTTGAAGCTGTCAGTTTGAGAGTAGAAAACATCATTTCTGACAGTTCAAAAACATCAAATTAAGCAATTCATCTTATTTGTACCATATGAGGGGAAATATCCCCCAAGCTCACATGAACAGAAAAAACAAACACTTTTTCTCGGGATATGTTGGTTTGGGCTAAGTTTATGGATTTTACAAAACATAAAGAAGGTTGCTACTTAAAGTTATCAATCTTGAGATTTGTATAAAATCAAACCCACGTTGATATGCTCTGATTTGTATCTGATATAGCCATTCAATGTACTTACCTTCTGTAATTACAGTATATTATAATACATCATCAGGAAATGAAGAGCGCATGTAATCCAGCGAGATCTTATTTGATTGATATGAGCCTCACTGTTTAGGGTTTACTGTCCTGCATCGTGTCAGGACATGGCATATCATTGTTGGAACAAGAAGAAGAAGCTACAAGGACATTTTGGAAGAAGGGCTGCACACATTCAACTTCTCATCAAGAGAACTATTTCCTATCACCGTGTTCAAAAACATTTTACACTGTGCACAGTATGAAGTCAGGTTGCTGTTGCTATTATGATTGATTCTTCATTCAAACAATGCGAGTTAGTTTAGCTACACTTTGGGGTGTGGCCAAACGAACCGGGACGGACATGTCAAGAAGTACAAATGAACAAGGAATTGCAGTAACCTCTTATTGGTGCTACACATGTTTTGAGGGATCCTGTTGCATAAATAAGACAGAGGTAAACTCTAATGTGCACAGCAGTGAAGACAGAAGGAGGCTTGAGGGATTACCTGTTGATGAAGACACAGACGAAGAGGAGCCTGGTGCAAGGGTCGGGCCGAACGGGTCCAGAGACAGAAGGTCGTTGTTGGTGAGTCTGCAGGGGGAGAGGGGCAAGTTCAAATGAGAAACATTTACAGCAGAAAGCGGCACAATTTCCTTCCATACGAAACAAGATAGTGTTAACATGTTAAAAATGGTGGCAGTCACGGACACATTCATACTTACTCGTATGGTGTTGGCACTCTGGGTTTTGCCAGCTCATCACCTGCAGGAAGAGAAAAACAAACGGAAAATTCAGACCCACAGGGCACAGCCCATTACTAAGATCAAAATAAAACCCCAACATAAGAGGGTTTCAAAGGTGACAGTTGCCATAAGTCATGTTTAAAGTTATTCACACCTTAAACCAGAAATATAAACTGAGCTTCTGACAGCTGTGAAAAGTCATAGAAGTATATTTGCAGTAAGATTTCGGTTGGTTAGAATATTTTTCTTATTTCTGCCTTACACAGTGAACATCTTACGCAAATACTGCAGAGGGTTCAAATGTGCTTTTGATTTGATGGTAACACTTTACAACAGGGGATGTAGCACCTCAAATAAAATCAGGCATTACTTTGTTACTTTGCGCCCCTTTTCTAAAGTGTTACAGAGCATTGCAAAGATCCATACGAGCAACCTGAAGCAGCACTGAAGCACCAGAGGAGGCAATGAGAGGACCCACATATAAAACCATTTCAATATTACAAATACAAGTTTGAAGTGAGAGTGCAGAGTCAGTGGTGTTAGTGTGTGTCAGCTGAGAGAAGTGCTGTGGCAGAGGGGGGGGGGCTTACTACTGTAGAGAAAACATACTCACCCGGACCCTGAGCCTTAGAGCTTAATGCAGACACTCCTGTGTTCCCTAAGCGTGTGTAGAGTATACATCTATCAATGCAATATACTGTCTAGGTTGAGCATTATCAGTGTTTCAGCTGCAGAATGGGATTTCTTTACCATTTAGTTACATACAAACATGACTTTTTTAGTTACTATTCAAACTTTCTGAAACTTACATTAAAACCAAATGGAACATGATGCATACAAAAAAAACTAAAAACAAAACAAACATCTTTATAAACGTCCAAACAGTTTTATAATGCCTCAACACCTTATTATGTTACTTATTGCACTTTTTTTTTTTTAATTGATGCTACTCATTTTTAGCCATGGTTGTCTATTACTAATGTGTGCTTTCTTCTCTATATTTAAAATGTTAGCTTACGCTCCATTTTTGCATGCCTTTCTTTACCTGCTCAGCCACTTTTGATGTAATACCGTGAATCCCCCCCGTTGTGGGACTAAAGGAATTCTGATCGTGACAGATGCTCTAGGTATATACTGTATATTTGAAGGACTTCTCAAGCAGTAAATCAAACAAACAAACGTTGCTTAATGTAGATACTCCTGTGTTCCCTTAGCGCAGTGTACTCTAAAGGCTAAGGCTTAGCGTAGGTAGAGTAATATACTGTGTAAGTTGATATTTGATCAGTGATTCAACTGCAGAATTGGAATTGTATTATCATTTACTGACATATAAACTTGGTTTGTGTTAGCAACTTTTGAAAAAACAACAACTTTCCTAGCATAAAGAAAGAACTTTTATAGTAAATATGCAAGCTTTCTGAATCTTACATTAAGCCCCAATGGAACATGATACATGCTATATAGTGTAGGTTCATATATTTGAAGGATTTCTCAAGCATTTGCGGAGTAAATAAAACAGAGCAAACAAACTCAGCCTAAGGTAGATACTCCTGTCTATCAATATGCAAAAAACATGCGATATACTGTGTAAGTTGATCTATATCAGTGTTTCACCTGCAGAATGTAATTATGTTTACCGTTTAGTTACATACAAACATGGTTCTTGTTAGCAACTTTAAAGAAAACAACAATTTGACTAGAATTAAACACCTTTTCAGTTAATCTTCAAGCTTTGAAACCAACATTAAGAACCCATGGAACATTATTCATGGTGTGTATGTACACACACACAGATAGATATACTGTATATTTAAAGGATTTCTCAAGCATTTGTGGAATTAATCAAACACAGCAAACAAACACACTTTCTCCAAGCCGTGTCAGTTTGCAGAGTGGAAAACATCATTTCTGACATTTCAAAACATAAACATCCAATTAAGCAATTAATCTTATTCATACCATGGTGGAGGGAAATATCCCTCAAGCTCACATTAACAGAAAAGAACACTTATTGACTTTTTTCTCGGGAATATGTTGGTTTTGGCTAAGTTTCTGGGTTTTCCTTTTTAAAAAACAACCTCTTTAAAAACGTCTTGTGCCAAGAAAAATGTAGTTGAGACGCTGTACAGTCGACCCCCTTCAGTCATCCAGCACACACAGATACAGAGAGGTCAGACAGAGAAAATACTCACTGGACTGGTTCCTCCGCATCTGTCCCTGAAAACACAAACAGACATTAATTAAGAAAAGACGCTGCGACACGCCATGACTTTCCAACTTTGACTTGCTCGGTTTGTTGGAAAGAAATCATAAAAAAAGAGAAATCTAAGAGAAATGGTCAAGCTGCATAGAAGAGACCTCAAACAGGCCTAGATGTTCTTTACAAAGTGATACAAAGTCTTTTAATGTCACTTTTTCTCACCTTTTTTACAACCTGTGCAACCTTTGGAAGCTCACATTTCTAAAGTCCATGTCAAACTATTTGAAACCTAAAGCCCTTAAGCCTTAATATATAAAGATGTCAAATATATAAAACAGTGTAAATAGTGGGAAAAAAGCTTTAAAAGGGTTGGAAACTGTATTATGAATTATTCCCAGGGGCAAAGGGAATTTTCCACTTCAGAGTTAAAGACAGTAAATCTCAGGGCTGCTCTCGCCTCACACATACCAGACGTTAAACCTAGGGTGAAATATTCAGCAGCGCAAAACTTTGCATTTAAGCCCATCTGACGATCAGTGAGGGAAAACAGAGAGCGTGCCCCCAACACTTCACCAATTTCCGTTACACAGCGGACATAAATCTGCCGTGTCATGCTGCGTAACACAAGATACGCGAGATTGGCTGTTGAGGGTCACCAACCCAATGGAAAGTTTGAGCATCAATTTCAATAAAGACTTTATTTGCACAATGAGAAAGGTGGTGGTTGTGTGTGAGTGTGGTGGGGGGTCTGTCAAGGGAGGAGGGGAGAAAAAGAAACAAAATGGGTTTAAGGAACATAGCAAAAGCATTTAACCACCGTAGAGCTGTGAGGCCAGGGTTTAGTCCCACAGGCGCTAAGCGGCAAATGGGTTCAATTACGGCTATTGCTGGCCACACACACACGACTTCCACTGCTATTTCAATAAAGGGAACACCGCAGAGGGAGAACCAAACAGGAGGAGAAATGAAAAAGACAGAAAAATGAGCAGAAGAAAAAAAGAAAAGAAAATGTCTCAATAATTCACACCAGATGATGCAACGTTCGTCATCGCCTTGGATGGGTTTTAACTTTATTCCAGAACTTTGGGTAAATATAAAAAAAAAGGAAAAGGGTGCTAAACAAAAATGTGAAAAGACAGAGAGTAGGAAAAATATCATTTAAAAAAGGTCTTTTAAATGCAAATCAGAGTCAACACACAAAAACAGTGGTTTGTGGGTTTTTGTACTTTAAGGATGAGAAAGTTTGTGGGTTTGCATCTCGACAAAAACCAAACTGGAACGGACAAAATCAAAAGGTTTAAAAAAACAAAACATTTTTCCTACTAAATGTTGTTCTATTAAAAAGAAAAACATCCTCTAGAAAATTGTATTTTATCTTTATCATTAGTTCCTTTGCTAGAAAACAGACAAGAGAAAGGGAAGATTTGAAAAAAGAAGTCCCAAAACTAACTCCATAAAGTATTCATAAAGAACCACAACAGAGTCCTGTCTAGCAAGTGGTCTCCAATACAAGCCAACAGAGTGAAAGCAAACAAAGAAAGGAGGGAAAAAGAGTGAGGTAGATCACAAGCAGGGAGGAGGAACAGTGGTCGGAGCAGAAAGGGGGGGGGGGGGGGGAGATGCCGTGACATTTGTTTAATGTGCAGCCGGGAGAGCGGCGGGTGAAACCCACTAGACCCCGTTCTCCACACCGAGCGGGCCCTTTCAGACACTCCACAACAACAACATCAACAACAACAGCAGCAGCTCAGTGAATGTTTGCACACAAGCAGTAGTGGCTTTAAACTTTAATGGCAGCGGCTATTTTCATAGAGCGGGAGATAGAGTGATGGTGAGAGACAGAGCTCAATGAAGGACTCCATGAGTGAGGTCACGGATCAGACTGTGTGTGTGTGTGTGTGTGTGTGTGTGTGTGTGTGTGTGTGTGTGTGTGTGGCCTGCCCTCTACCGCAAATCATTCCTACAAGGACAGCAAGTGTGAGTCTGCACTGAAGGCCAACAAACTCAGATACTTAACTCACAAATGATTATTTCTTGATATTTTTACTTTAAAAGAGAGAAAAATACCCCAAAAGTAGTTCGACAACTAAATTCTAAGTATAAGAAACCATGACATTTGTCCAAACGGGAACATCACTGAAAAAGTAGACAATCTGGAGTGTGAAATAAATAAAAATAAAAATACAAATGCCTTTTTAATAAAAATTAAATAAGCTCCAAGAAAAGTGAGTAACGGCATCTGTAAGTGGGATAATAGGGTTAAACGGCATCCACTCTAACAGAGGTTTCATATTCTCCTGTTGCCCTCTAGTGTTGCAGCAGCAGAGCAGCAGAGCAACAGGTTTGTGTTTAGGGAGTGTTAGTATTTATAGTGTATTTGATAGTGTTTTTGGTGTGTTTAAAGCCGTACCGAGGTCGAAGGAGACAGGCTGATGTTTCCGATGGAGGCTTTAAGCTCGTCGATGGTGGCTCTGTTCTGGTGCGTGCCGTTGTTTGGCAGAACGGGCTTAATTTCTACGTGGAACTTCCTGGGTTCATCTTCGTCCTCCGAGTCGCTGGACGAATAAAAGGAATTCTCTTTGGCATGTGAGCAAAACAGTTAAGGAGAAAACAGACACATTGTAAAAAGAGAGAACAATAGAAAGATCATCTTCTTATTGAATTGGCCTGGCTTCAGGAGGCAGGTTGTGAACAGAGAAACACACGGTGACAGATCCTCCATGATGATGATGAGCTGGATGGAGCCTCAGAGTGTAAACAGTTTCAATACAAGCATAAAGGATATCGTTCTCATTTCCTTCCGGTCTGATGCAGAAGCCCTCTGCATCAACTTGGGGAACGTTCTGCAACACAAAAACAGAAAGTCGTTTTCAAATATCACATTGTTGTATATTTCTAACACACATTTTAAATAAATGTATCATATTTGTATCCTCTGTAAATACAGTACACTTTTAAAGCGGTAAAGTAATACCCACAATGTATTTAGCAACACTTAAAATGTGCACATCTTATTGTGCATAAAATGTTTTTCAAATGACATTTGAATTTAAACAGCCAGTAGGCCAAACATTCTTAAAATCAGTCAATACATAATAAATATAATTATAAATGATACCATTCAAAATATCCCTCTTTTACACTGAATCTTAACATAGGTGAACACTTTAAACATCGTTTTTATTTATTTTGTTCTCTAATTGTCAAGCATTCTGTTTTTAAGACATATGATATACAAAGTAATAAAGGACAGTGAAAATAAGGAACATCTAAGTTTTCACTATTTCACTTTTTAAGTTATTGTGGTTTACAAAAAGTGCTTTTTATTGTTACTTGTTAGAGCTTTTTATTGTGAAGCACTTTGTCACATTGTTTAGAAATGTGCTCTACAAATATATTTGATTTGAATGATACAAAAGGTCTGGATATGACTGCATTTGGCTCCTGAGTGCATCAGCTTGCTTACAGCGTTCTGGATGTCTATGGCCCCATAGTACCCAGGGGGAGCTCCATTGGCAGTGTTCTACAAGCACAAACACAGAGGAATGAATGAATGAGCCAATCTACAAAACTAACAGGAGGGAGGGAACACACACAGAGAGAAAGACAATTGAATGCACAAGGATCCCTTCCACCTCCTCCTGTTTGAAATCAAAACTGAAAAATCAATTAAATTGGTGTTTTGTTGAAATTATACTCACAGCAGCTTCCACTTCTGTAGACTCCCTGAAAGATAGAATTATGATATCATGATGAGACTGATTTATTTAAAACAAGTTGCATTAATTGTGTTGGTGGACTAAAGTTATGTTCGGTTACGTCGAGTCTGTATCCTTATCTTTCCTTCGACCTGGGATGCCGAATGGTTTTCTCTTTCTTGGTTTGGCACCTTAATACGAAAAAACCAAAGCACATCAACCATAAATAAAAAAAGCATTTAAATCTGCTCTCGACTTGATTCAAACATTAAATTCTTTACTTTAGTGCATTTGTTAAAATATTTGTTGTAAAACGTATTTGTAATAAGACGTACCTTCAGTAGCAATAGCTGTATTGCACTCCTCAAACTCAATGGGTCCTAATGAGACAAAAAAATATATTTTAGGTTCATTTGGCACGGAAAGGGTCAACGGCCTACTGCTGTGAATGCTGTGAATGTACATCACGCAATAATCACACACACACATACACACAGCACACACACACTTTGGCAAACACACAGCATTCATACAGTCTGGCGTGCTACAGAGTGTGTACACAAACAGGCCGGCTGCTCCCACAGGGCAGACCGGGTCAACAGCAGAGTCAAATGTGTGTCTGGTGGCCCTCACTGAGATGTGACACTGCCTCCTGGGGACACAAAGCACTACTCTGCAGCACAAAGTCTTCCTCACATGAAAAAAATAACATTCTTAAGCATACTCATCTTTATTCATACTATTGGAAATGTCAAAAACCTGATCTCTAATATATGGAATTTCTATACTGCTGATTATACCGCCTTTTTTTTGTGACCAACCTTTATTGTTTTCTAGTCACCCTTTAGAGGGACATATATATACAGATAGAAATGATGTATTATGTGTATAACTCCTTATAGAGTTGTAGTGTAAATACTGACTATACATTATACTATTAATAACTCTGCACTTCACTACTTGTTTTGGAATTCTGGTTAGATGCTGACTACATTTCGTTGTCTTAGTACTTGTAAAGTTGAATCTAATCTAAAACCCATCATGAACTGATTCTCTATGAACAGGATAGGTGCTCACAGCAAACAGCAGAAAAGTGAACCTCCAACACGGGACACGCAAAGTCCCTAACCCTATTACAATAAGACAAACAAGTGGGAGATTACACGCAGTGAAGTGTTTAAAGCCACACGGACAAATCTGCTCTCGGGCTTAGAAGCAGCCCTCCTCTCCCTCTCTCTTTGGCATGCAAGAAATCCCAAGGGGAACGTAGAGTAGACCATACTGCAACAAACCCTTATTACAATGATCTATTCATTTGATTTATAATAAACAATTAATTGTGTGATGTAGTCTACTTATCTCTGCATTTGACTTTTACTATGGTGTCCCTCTCACAAGTTTATTAAACAATTTTACTTGTTTATATTTGAATTATATTGGTAAGTTGCACTGTTGGAGGTCTCTTGAACACAAGCTTTTCATTGTAACTACACTATAGTTATTGTGCATATGACAATGAAGCCTTTGAATATTTCAATATAAAATGCCAAAAAAAAGTGAAATATGTCCTAATTTCTCAAACCCTAAGGTTGCACCTTATTTTGATGTTTTCTTGTCAGACAAAAACACTAATGTATCCATTAAGTTTACTGAAAAAAAAAATAAAATAAATCAGGAAGTCTTTGTATTTAAAAAGGGCCTGAAAACAACAATTTCTGCATGAAAAAAACACTGAATGATAATCAAAACAGTTGGCAATTGTTTTTCTTTCTAAAGAACTTATTGTTACAGCTCTACCCTAAAATAAACATACCAAAAATAATCAGCACAAACGAACACACATCTGAAATAATCCCTGATTAATAGACTGAACTAACAGTGTCAGATCTATTCCAGCCAACAGCCGTAATATCCCTCAGAGCACAACCAGCCGTGGATTTATCCAAACAAAAATAACATTGCTTTTGGTTATACAGATCTATGATTGAAATGATGAGGAGAGCAAAAAACAACAGCGTTTACACTTAATTGAATGCTCATCAATTATACACAACATGTACCTCCAAGGCCCTGCACAGCACTGTCACGCTTCAAGAGTGCCTCCAGAAACATTTATGGAGGATTTTCAAAAGGAAAAGCACTGTAACATACACATGCTCACGCAAACACACACACGTACATACGCACTCACACACTGAAAGCTGAAGAGAACACAGAGGCAGGGCATGCAATGAGTGTGCATGTCACTCAGAGAAAGCAGCTAGGTTGGGCTGTTGGTGTTGTGTGATTGTAATATCTATTAGGAAGAGTGACACCTTAACCTTATAACTGCATATTTAGATCGCATTATGGACTCGTGCAATATTCAAATAGCAGGATGCACAATAATTGTTAGATAAAACGTTTTTTTAATGAAGTATCAGCAGGGATTTACCTGCATACAAATCGTAGTCTACAGACTTAACAAAATAAGATTTGTTTGCAACTGATCATCTTTAAAAATGGCACTATAATAATCTAAATTCATTTTTCAATGGCAATGAGAAGTTTAATGCAAAAATGACTTATCTCTCGAATATCGTGAACAATTTCGCAGTTGCAATATCATTCGAAATATTGCAAATTAGTATTTTTCCAAATTGTCTGAAATCCTTTATGTCAGTGTAATATCTGCATTAGTCCATTGTATCTGTACGTTTGGCTATGCCAGTGTATATTATTCATACATTCTTACACAAAAAGCCTGACCTGGAAGACATGCAGTGTGTTTGCCATCAGACCACATGGACACAGATATAATGTATATACAGCTTAATAGCTTGCAAGCTAAGCAGGAGAGAGAGAGACCCTCTGGCAATATGTCCGATACACTAACATGCCTTGACCTGAAAACAACAAAGCTAATGATATTTTAACTCAAAATGTATACAGTAGCAGCAGTCCAACGCTCTCTCCCCAGAGGATGCCAGTCACGCGCAGAATTGACGCTTTGTTTGGCGTGTGCAGCGCAGAGTGAAGCGCAGGGAAGCGGCGAGTCACGAGAGGCATGCATCACGCCAAGTGAAGTGGATAAAGTACACCAATGACCGATCTACTCTACTGTGCAATATCGGGCCTCTTCACCGCCGGCGAACACACAACGGCAGCACGAACCGCTGTGTGTGAAAGGGAGAGAGTTTCATGCCAATCAAAACAAGATTGGCATGCTCATTCAAGAACTTTCTCTCATGGGAGGAAACAGGAGAGACAGCCATTTCAAGCTACTGTACATAATATTTGAGTGTATAAAAGTACACTATGTTTATATGTTGAGTAGATTTGTATATATTAGAGAGTATTCAAATGGATTATGATTTAAAAGCGTTAACATACTGAATATACTTAATTTTTGACTGAGAATATGTATATATTGTTTTTACATTTGTAATGTTTATTTTAATTTTATTCAATTTTTAACAAATGTTGTAATTCTTGTAGATTGACTGTCAAAATGCTGCTGTGACAAAACCATTTTCTCAAATCTATCTAACTATCTATCTGTCTATCTATAGGTATCTATCTATCTACAGGTATCTATCTATAGGTATCTATCTATCTACAGGTATCTATCTATCTATAGGTATCTATCTATAGGTATCTATCTATCTACAGGTATCTATCTATAGGTATCTATCTATCTACAGGTATCTATCTATCTACCTATAGGTATCTATCTATCTATAGGTATCTATCTACAGGTATCTATCTATCTACCTATAGGTATCTATCTATCTACAGGTATCTATCTATAGGTATCTATCTATAGGTATCTATCTATCTACAGGTATCTATCTATCTACCTATAGGTATCTATCTATCTATAGGTATCTATCTACAGGTATCTATCTATCTATCTATAGGTATCCATCTATCTATATGTATCTATCTATCTATCTATCTATAGGTATCTATCTATAGGTATCCATCTATCTATAGGTATCTATCTATCTATCTATCTATAGGTATCTATCTATCTATCTACATCTATCTATCTATCTATCTATAGGTATCCATCTATCTATATGTATCTATCTATCTATCTATCTATAGGTATCTATCTATCTATCTATAGGTATCCATCTATCTATATGTATCTATCTATCTATCTATAGGTATCTATCTACAGGTATCTATCTATAGGTATCCATCTATCTATAGGTATCTATCTACAGGTATCTATCTATCTATCTATAGGTATCCATCTATCTATATGTATCTATCTATCTATCTACAGGTATCTATCTATCTATAGGTATCTATCTATCTATCTATAGGTATCTATCTATCTATAGGTATCTATCTACAGGTATCTATCTATCTATCTATAGGTATCCATCTATCTATATGTATCTATCTATCTATCTATCTATAGGTATCCATCTATCTATATGTATCTATATATCTATCTACAGGTATCTATCTATCTATAGGTATCTATCTATCTATCTATAGGTATCTATCTATCTATAGGTATCTATCTACAGGTATCTATCTATCTATCTATAGGTATCCATCTATCTATATGTATCTATCTATCTATCTATCTATCTATAGGTATCTATCTACAGGTATCTATCTATCTATCTATAGGTATCTATCTATCTATCTATAGGTATCTATCTATCTATCTATAGGTATCTATCTATAGGTATCTATCTATAGGTATCTATCTATCTATCTATCTATAGGTATCTATCTATCTATCTATCTATCTATCTATCTATACGTATCTATATATATATCTATCTATCTGTCTATATATCTATCTATAGGTATCTATCTGTCTATATATCTATCTATAGGTATCTATCTGTCTATATATCTATCTATAGGTATCTATCTGTCTATATATCTATCTATAGGTATCTATCTGTCTATATATCTATAGGTATCTATCTATAGGTATCTATCTATCTATCTATCTATAGGTATCTATCTATCTATAGGTATCTATCTATCTATCTATAGGTATCTATCTATCTATCTATCTATCTGTCTATATATCTATCTATAGGTATCTATCTATAGGTATCTATCTATAGGTATCTATCTATCTATCTATAGGTATCTATCTATAGGTCTCTATCTATCTATCTATAGGTATCTATCTATAGGTATCTATCTATAGGTATCTATCTATCTATCTATAGGTATCTATCTATAGGTATCTATCTATCTATCTATAGGTATCTATCTATCTATCTATCTATCTATACGTATCTATATATCTATCTATCTATCTGTCTATATATCTATCTATAGGTATCTATCTATAGGTATCTATCTATAGGTATCTATCTATAGGTATCTATCTATAGGTATCTATCTATCTATCTATCTATAGGTATCTATCTATAGGTATCTATCTATCTATCTATAGGTATCTATCTATCTATACTTATCTATCTATCTATCTATCTATCTATAGGTATCTATCTATACGTATCTATATATCTATCTATCTATCTATCTATCTATCTATCTATACGTATCTATATATCTATCTATCTATCTATCTATATATCTATCTATCTATCTGTCTATCCATCCATATCCGGTAAGTGTGCTGACAGAAAACAGGTGAGGATATTTTAACTCAAGAGGTGTGTTTTGTTTCAAGAGAAGGAGCTCATAAACATTATCTCATTTGATTTCACCTTTCATTAAATGCATCAGTTGGAGATATTGTCAAACAAAAGGAATACAAAAAAAGACTGAGAAAGAATTGTTGAATCACACATTGTGTTCGTTATCTCTGGGATGTGAAACAAATGCTGTGCGTGTACGTCAGGCCCAGGCAGAGCAGGAACTCTTTGCCTCTAGCACCCTGGGATTGCATCTGACAATATTTATGCACACCAACTACAGGAAAAGTCCAAACACCAGACACATGAATATTACCTAAATGTGGGCCGACATTAGGAACTGTTTAAACATCTCCTAAACAGACAGACGACTTTGTTTATACAGGGGAAGATGTTTCTTTTCTTCCTCCTCTCTGTGAGGGAAGCATGCAGTCACGCATGAGCGGAGAATGGTTTTTTAAATTGCATATGCTTCACATGGCACTGGGAGTGGGAGAGGGGCGGGGGGTTTGCGTGTCTGGCCCTCCGCCAGTTGACAGCTCAGCTGGATATCGTTGAACACTCCGAACCCCCCTGCCTCGCAGCGTGTCACTTTGGGATTGTTTCCTCAATAGAAAGTTTATTCAACCTCTCTCTCTCTAAAGGCAGTGGACCAGCCATCCGTTCAGCTATTTAATCAGGGGACGGACAGGTTATTTTTCTGACAGGCCCGGGGCTGCTGCGCAATCCCTAATGAACAGCTTGATACAAGAGGAATTTTCTGACCGTTTTTTTAGCCTCAATTAATTCTGCTGTCCAAACAAATGAAGGCCACCACTCCCTGGACGCAGCGTCTGGACACAGGGGTCACCGTGTGTGTACACACAAACACAGCAGAGGTGAAGCCTTTGTGTGTGTGACCTGACGTAATGTAGTACCAATACAACGACCAGGGGAGTAATTGTATATTTAAACAGGGCTTCAAAATGTAAACATGCAATGCATACACACACACTCCCCCCCCCCCCCCCCCCCCCCCAGATACCCAGTGACTGACTGGATCTGATGAGGGACCTCATATTATTAAAAAGGTCAAAAACGGTCTATGGTACATGTATTCTGTCCATAGTGTCTGTTCAATGAAAATGAAGTTGGATCTATTCTAATCTTATTAGATTTTACTGACTAAAACAAGTACACAGTGATCATGTTTCAGAGCTACTACACTGCTACAACTATCAATGAATGAGCTGGAGTGTGTGTGTGTGAAAAAGAGGGAGGCGAGGGGGAAGAGCCAGAGGAGTCTGAGGAGTATTCCCTTGATTATTGTGGCATGGCAAAGTTTACACAAGAGTCATTGTTGAGCTCTGACCTCCTGAAAGGTTGTTCTGCCTGCTTAGTCTGCGCAGAGCAAAGCCCCCAGTGTGTCACATGCTTACTGGAATGCCAAGCCGGCTACCTTTACAGCAGATTACTATGATTGCCTGTGATGGCGCTCTCTTACTTCTAATTGCCCCTCTCTATACATCCCTACCTTCCCCAAGAGGCAGGGACAGGCACGCTCACTTATTTACTCACAACACAAATATTTGTTATTAGAATATAAGATAAAAGATTCTTACCTGGTCTCTCCTTGCCCGTTCCTTTGCTCTCGGCCAGCTTCTGTATTAAACTCTCCACTGAGGTGTTCTCAACGTTCCTCACAAATTCATTCTGGACCTACACAATCCAAAACAATAAAAAAGATTATTTCACAAAAGAAAATATGTAATGATTCAATAAATGTCGTCATAGTGGCCTTTACAAGGTATTCCTCTTGTTTGTGGACATATTGTTTTTATTTATTTATATTCATGTGGATTTGCTGCAACTATATAATCTCTGTGCCGTTGTCATCACATTGTGTTTTTTAAATTATTTTTACACTGATATGAACCTAAGTGTCTTAAGTAAAGTTATTTGTAATATTTTCTGACAGTTGCCTTCACTTTGAATAAAAAAAGAAATGGAAATACTGCACCATATATGTGTGAATGTTTGATTAATTTAGTGTCTTGTTGAAAGACTTACACATTTAATTGTTTGATTTATTTATCATTTATGCTCACCGCAATAAATAAGTTATAACGTTTTTAGTGAGCCTTGTACTGTTGTTAAATTCTCACACACACACAAACATTTGTTTTACTTTAACCACATAAGGTTAACTACATCCTAGTGCTGGCAGCACCGTTATTTTAAAACACACCAGCAGAGATGGAACAACACAATACATAATGTATGGTGGTTTGCCAGGCATGCTGTTAGCCTGAAGAATGAGAGTTTTTTTTAAAGTGAGGTGATTGTACGATACGATACGATACGATACGATACGATACGATACGATACGATACGATACGATATACTTTATTGTCCCCGTAAGGAAATTTGTTCTGGACTAGAACAGAAAGAAAAACTTTTGTAACTGCAATAAATCTATGAAGTCTTGTTCTTGTCAGCTACATACATTACATAATGTAATTATGGACACTTTAAACCTGCACTAAGTGAACTCCTTAGAGCAGGAGTAGACTTACAAATCGGTATGTCACGTTGATAATGTTTTTGGCCAAAGTTGAATAGCAATCTACTGTAGTTAGATAGGGTTTTCTCGCTTTAGCAAGCCTGGTCTACTTGGCGTGTTTCCTGACACCAGGATGCGTAGCCTGCGCGCCATCTGTGGAGGCCGCCCCACGGTGCTTTGCGTAATTGGCCCGCAGAAATATACTGTACTTTACTGAGTTTCTTTTGTGTCAGGTTGAATCATTGTAGTTGGCACTGTGGTCAGCTGAAGCCCTTTGGGCAGTATCAGAGGAAGGATAGTGTGTGTTTGCTTGTTTGTTTTGGATGTGCATGGGCTTGTGTGTTTACTGAGGGGGAAGTGAAAGCAGCGTATAGGCATGGGGATGAAGAACAGCGTTGAACTGTGCCATCTCACCAAACCATTTAGATGTGCGTGATACTGTAAGCGCAGAGTGGCTCCACCATCAAACAAACACACACGCAAAGACACACATATGTGTCTGCCCCCCAGGCCCCTGTGGAGAGGTGGAGTGCATTAGCCTTCTGTGCCCTTGGAGGAGAGGATGTTGGGGGGAGGGTGATGTGTGTGTGTGTGTGTGTGTGTGGGGGGGGCAGGAGGGAGGATGCGCGGTGAGGAAGTATGCTCGCTGCAGCACACGCGATCTGTCAGGTGCTGCTGCCATGACGGAGGGCAGTAATGTCAGCAACCTGCGTGCCCCGCTTGCCTCTCTCACACACACACAAAACACACACACACACCTCGTCCCATGGAGACTTTCGACCACATGCTCAAAACATGCCTCTGCCTTCAAGGGATCCCCATACACACACACACACACACACACACGCTCACTTACGAAAAACAAACAGAGCACGCAAACCTCACAGACACACCTGCCCTGAGTTTACTTCTCTGCATTTCTTCATACGTATACAGAGGTGGGAAAAGTACTATTTAAGTAAAAGTAGAAGTACCAGAGTGTGGGAATACTCTGTAACAAGTACAAGTCCTGTATTCAAAATGTTACTCAAATAAAAGTAGAAAAGTGTTAGAATCAAAATATAGTGAAAGTAGCGACAGTAAAAGTAGTCATTGTGCAGATTGGTCCATTTCAGAATAATATATATGATATGTTTTATAATGATTGATCATGAAAGTGTTCTCAAAGCTGGTAAAGGTGCAGCTAGTTTGAATGACTTTGTATACTGCAGGGTAGCTTGTGGATTTACTCCAGGTGGAACTAAAGTCTGATTTAACACTTGATTATATTTCACATCATTCATCCACATCTGTGAAGTAACTAAAGGTATTAAATATATGTAGTGGACACCATTTACCTCTGACTTGTAGAGGAGTAGAAGTACAAAGTAAAAAACATGTCACTCAAAATTGTACTTAAGTACAGTACTTGAGTAAATCTACTTAGTTACTACACCACTGTACATATGTCTTAATATATATCTATATATGGTATCTTCCTTATTCTACGGCTAACTTCCTCCCTCTCATCCTCTCTTACCCCGCATGCCCACCGAGCTGATACTGGCTGAATACCTGGAATGCTGACATGATCACTTGTAGATTTTAGTGACACCTTGGGTTACAGGTTTCCTCTGCTTTCATGCACTGCTCCTCCCTGTCATCTCTTGTCTCCAGTAGTTTAATACCACCCCCCCCCCCCTTCCCAAAACTGACAGCAGCTCCAACACTAAGCTCTACTTTTGGGGAAGCAATTCCTAAACAGTCAAAGTCAATACTAACTCCACTGAGTGTAGACCACCCTGTCTCCTCTGATAAAGTGACACACATGTCTTCAGCAGTTCCTGTTCACCTGCCAGTTAGGAGCTTTACTGAGGGTGTGACACACACACACACACACTACTATCACACACACACTACTATCACACACACACTACTATCACACCCAGCGGTGCAGGCCTCTTCACAGGCACTTTGACTGTCAATAAGAAGCTGCTAATGAAGCTTCAAGGTCATTTCGTCTTTCCTCATCAACAATGAAGAATGATGCCTAAAATCAGTGGAGTCACCATTTAAGCTTCTACCTGTTTGTTTTTACATATTGTCTATTCATACTTTTAATCTGTTGGAAAATATTTGGAAAGCTTTTATTGGTTGAATAAATTATTAAAGTTAAACAATTTATATATATATATATATATATATAATAATACAAAAATAGTTTTGACTGTATATATATTTTATTGTTATCTCGTTTGAATGTTGAAAATCGACCTTTCCTCATTTACCTTCAGCTTACCCTCACTCCATTAGCACACATTTCATATGAACTATTGAAAACCATATAAGAGTTTACTTTAATTTGTCTTTCAATTCTTAATTTGACTCTTGTGTGCAGAAATAATCAGGCACAGTGGATACAATTGTAAATGTACTGTATCGCGAGTCATTGGACAAGGTACGCGTCACTTATTGTTGCCGCTTTAGACTATATTACCGGTTACATTGGATATATTTAAGTAAGAACATGTGTCAATATAACAATACATTGGCTAATAAAATATCATTTAAGAAATGAATCAGTTGGACAAAACTCAAGAATCACTGTTTTGGAGGTTTATATTAAAACAGGTTCTTGCTCGAAGGAAAATTGCAGCACAAACGTTAATAACATTCAAAAATGCAAGTATATGCAAACGTATGAATGTGTGTGTGTTAGCTTGTCAGCATCAGGGCCTGTGGGCTCAGTGACTAAGCACAATGTTGCTTCACTCTCCTCCCTCACCCTCTTGCCTCCCCCTTATGTGATATTAACATCCCATAGTCCCTCACATCCGGTCTCCAGAGTATTGACCATTAAATCACTATTTCCTTGTCTGCTCAGGTTTTTCTTGTTTATGGTGGACTAGTCATATTTTAATTTGTCTCAGCAACAGGCAGCACTGGCCATCTCCTGCCCAAACTGTGAGGCTGAATAACCTGCGGTAGCCTGTCGCTCCACATCTTTTCCAAAGTGCCGACCAGGCTGCAGACTGGACTGAGACCCTTTTGGTGGAGCTGTGACGCCCTCTATGGGCAACAGCAGAACTACATCACAGCATCAGCTCAGAGAAGCTTCAGATTAATGAGAACAGAGCAACAGATTGTCATTAAGTCTTTCTGTGTGGCGCTGGTAAGTATGATTGCTGAATAAATAACTGAAAATAAATCTCTGGTTAATGTTAGATACTGATTAATATAGCTGTGGATAATGTTTGAAAGCCTTTAAAATCGTAATTGAATTGAACTTGATGCCATATTCTCAAACCTAAACACAATCTAGCAGGAACAAACACGCCTAGTGCAGCACTTCTAACTTTCTGACACAGGATTTGACGAGTGTTTGGACTTCTGGAGGTGTTTTAGATAGGCTGAGAGGGAGTTTTGATCAGTTTTTAATTGCCTGGCATAAAAGGCTGAATGGACCATTTCCTGGTTCTCAGTTAAACGATTAGCGAGATCAAAGACGACACTAATTGATATGACACACAGTGAACCCAATGAGCGGAGCCGCAGGTCAACAAGACACCTACTCCACCCACAGGAATGTTTCAGAGCATGTATGTGTGTGTGTGTGTGTGTGTGTGTGTGTGTGTGTGTGTGTGTGTGTGTGTGTGTGTGTGTGTACACTCACCTCTCCTATTTGAACGTGTGTTTCGTCGACGGACTGCGAGTATGACTGGATGATCTCCTTCATGTGGAGAGTGTGGTTTTCTTCAATGTCTTGGAATTTCTAAAAAACAGGGCGAGGTGAGTTATGGCACGGCGGAGCAACACACATATCAAATTAGTTTCATGCACAATCTGCATCATGGTGTCGTTTAACAGGCATGAAAACAAAAACAAGTTATGCAGAATAGGAAACTTCACTTCCTTATTCTGCCCCAGCCACTTCCTGCGTGTCTGTTTGGGTAGTCTATCGTGCTCGCACACACTTTAGTTCAGTGGTGTAAAGTAACTTAGTACATTTACTCAAGTATCATTTGCAGATACTAGTACTTTACTTGATACAATTCAGAGGCAAATCATGTACTTTGACTCCACTACATTTATGTAATCCCTTTAGTTACTTCACAGATCTGGATGAATGATGTGAAATATAATCAAGTGTTAAATCAGACTTTAGTTCCACCTGGAGTAAATTCACAAGCTACCCTGCAGTATACAAAGTCATTACAACTAGCTGCACCTTTACCAGCTTTGAGAACACTTTCATGATCAATCATTATAAAACATATCATATATATTACTAAAGGGGCCAATCTGCATAATGAGTACCTTTTACTTTTGGTACTTTTACATGAGTAACATTTGCAATGCTGGACTTTTACTTGTAACAGAGTATTCCGAATACTGTGGTATTTCTACTTTTACTTAAGTAAAAGGTATGAGTACGTCTTCCACCTCTGCTATAGTTCCTGGCGTCTCTTATTCCATACGTGAGACACATTGACGGAGGTTCATTTTGGCCTCAAGCAGTAGTATGGTGTAGACTAAATACTAGTGTTTACTCCCATTTAAGTCTGACTCAGGGTTAACGGAGGAGATAATCAAAGTGAGGATGCAGAGGAAGAAGAAACCACAAGCTCAGAGATAAAGAGCCACACGCTCCTGCATCTACACTACAGAGACAAATAAATAAGGCTTTTGTCATTCTCCACGGAAACAGATAGCATATGCTCACACACAGACACACTCGAGACAAAGAGGACACACATGTAGGACCCCTGGTGATGTCAGAGCACATGTGTTCAGTGTTTATAACTCATGTCCACATGTGCTGCGTTTGAGATGAGCCGTAGACTGTGATCCTGGGGGAGCAGAGCTGCTTTCGCTAGGGGGGGAAACAGAAACGCTACGCTAACTGGAAACATTTCTGGTGGCGGTGAGGGAGGATATGGAGGCCAAATTCTGTTGATCTGATTTTAATTTGGAGTTTATCTAATCAGTCCTTCAATATGGATCCAATCAGGGCTTTCCACAACGATTCCGTCACAGAGGAAAAAACACAATCTGGAGATGATACAGGGCAGACACACACACACACACACACACACACACACACACACACACACACACACACACACACACACACACACACACACACACACACACACACACACACACCACACACACACACACACACACACACACACACACACACACACACACACACACACACACACACACACACACACACACACACACACACACACACACACACACACACACACCACACACACACACACACACACACACACACACACACACACACACACACACACACACACACACACACACACACACACACACACACCACACACACACACACACACACACACACACACACACACACACACACACACACACACACACACACACACACACACACACACACACACACACACACACACACACACACACACACACACACACACACACACACACACACACACACACACGAGAGAGAGGGAATCCCAGTACCTGTGCTGTTTCTGCCATCTTCTGTTCAAACTCTGACTTGGCGGCGGCATATTTCTCCACGTATGACTTGTAGGTCTCCGTGGCCTTTTTGGCTTTCACTCCAGCCTGCAAAATATAAACAGCCATCATCAGTTTATGTACGATACACAAAGGCCCTCTGTTTTCACAGATCGACTGACAAATCAGCAAGGAAACCGAGCTCCACTTAACTTCTGAAGCCAAGCCGCTTCTGGGGTTAACGTTTCTGTATAGAGTGGAGTGTTAAGGCACTTCATCATGCCTTATTACTAAAACCATGACTATGAGGGTGTGTGTGTACGTCATGTGTGACCTCCCACCTTGTCCACATCTCTCTGGGTGGCCCCCTCTTTGCGGAGGCGCTCCTGCTCCACGGTTTTGGCATTGTAGATCTCCTTGGACTTCTGCAGAGCCTGAGAGGTGGTCTGGATGTTCTGCACAGCCTCAAGGGTGGAAGCCACCTCTTCTTTTGTCTGAAAACACACACATGAATAAAATACGATATGTGTCAGCCAGTGCTACTAACTATGCAGCTATTGTATAGTTAACGTAATACAGTTAACACTTGTCTTGGAATCCCCTTGGTTATCATAACTTAGTTACACTAATAACTTCCTTTCAAATGTTTAACAATTCAAATGTTTAAAAATGCTTTGTCTTCTGATTTTGAGGTGAATTGTGTCCATATTTATTTCATTTGTATTGCTGGGCCGATGTATTTGTTCATGGCCTCTCTGTGGCCATGGTTATGGTTATGTTTGCATTTCAAATTTCAAATTGTTGTGATTTTTTGTGTTGTGATTCATTTCTGTTGGTTGTATTGTGACTTGATTTGGTTTTGTCATTTTGTTTTGTTTTGTTTCCTTTTCACTGTTTGTACTATGTTAGGACCCCATTCAAAGTGAGATGGTTCATCTCAAGGGGTTTATCCTAAATAAATAAGTTTCAGTTAATAACAAACTCCATTTCAGTGTAGACAGAGGTCCTTTACTGCTCTATTAAAACCCGTTTGCAGTCCCTCAGTTTTATTCTGCAGCATGTGATAAAGAACTGCATAGCACATCAGGAAGCAGTTAAAATTATATAGCGGCTGTTAAAAAATATAAAAGTCTCTGCATTTGTTCTTAATAAACCACATTTGTTCCATCTGCAAAGCTCGTCACATTGGCTTACTTTAAGGACATAGAAGTGTTAAATAAAAGGGGTAATGACAGTGGCCACACAGTAAGCTTGGTCGCTTGTTTTACTCATCACCGTCTCTGAACCCTATTTGTTTCTCGTTTGGACACATTTATGGTATAATGTAAACATCCCCGGAGTAAGCTAAATAAATTATGTAGATTTTCTCAGGAGCCACTCCAAGACTCAGAGTGTTTATTTTGTGTTATTCACACTGCTTAGCTACAGTATTCACTGTGTCTGCAAGTAAGCCAAGAAACACAGTGTGAGAGGAGCAGGGAGTGTGGGGAGGTGACGGAGAGGCGCTGTGACGGAGAGACGCTGTGACGGAGAGGGAGAGGCGCTGTGACGGAGAGACGCTGTGACGGAGAGGGAGTGGCGCTGTGACGGAGAGGCGCTGTGACGGAGAGACGCTGTGACGGAGAGGCGCTGTGACGGAGAGACGCTGTGACGGAGAGGGAGAGGCGCTGTGACGGAGAGACGCTGTGACGGAGAGGGAGTGGCGCTGTGACGGAGAGGGAGTGGCGCTGTGACGGAGAGGGAGTGGCGCTGTGACGGAGAGACGCTGTGACGGAGAGACGCTGTGACGGAGAGGCGCTGTGACGGAGAGACGCTGTGACGGAGAGACGCTGTGACGGAGAGGGAGAGGCGCTGTGACAGCCTTTTTGTCATGCTGAAAGCACAAACACAACTCTGCCGGTTCAGAGCTCCTTTTTGACTTTGTGTTCTGTGGCTTCATGCATGAGATAAGAGCTGATGGTGTGTCTTGGTGAGGAGAGATAGAGTGAGGTTTTAAAAAAAAAGCTTCAAAGAATAACACTGCTGCACGCTATGTTTTCTCAGGATGGAATGAACTATTAAACAATTGAATTTTCTTGTGGAGAGTTGACTTCTAGGCAATAGTGACAACATTTTTCAGTGTATCAACTGCAGAGTAAAATGACCAATAACGGAGGAAGAAATAGAGGTGAGAAAAGGTCTATCTTTAAACTCTTATTTTGTAATGTTAACCAATAAAGATAAGCCTGTGGCAAGACTTGAGCATGAACAAGGTTTATGGGAAAGAATGGCAGACCAAAAGGGAACATTTCGGTATTGATAATGCCAAAACCTGTTTTTCATCCACATTTCTGATTTAAATTCCCATTTCTCAATATTACTCTGTATTTTATTTTGAGGTTTTTTTGGGGCGATAAAGTTGTCTTTGCAATTTATATTTTTAAACACTTTTAATGCAGATAACTCCTTGATTGACTTTTGAAAATAAGTATTTTACCCAGAAGAAGAATTGTTGTTATCATCTATTTTCATCCAAAAGCCCAAAAAATCATTTGAAAGGTGTAAATGTAAAGTCAATATAGCGTGACTTTAGCCCATTCTGAATCTTGGACTACAGACTTGCAACGTTTGGACAGTAGAAAAACAAATGCATCTGGTATTCCTCTCATCACAGAATCAACATAATGGTGGATGTTCAATGTTAAAAATGTTAAGTTTTCAGAAATGTTTTATTACAGCAGCTTCAGTTAAAACATCATTTGCGATTTGAGAAAGTGATTGCCACATTTCTTTTTCGATCTCCTTACCTTTTTGTGTGCTTTGGCCTGCTCCTCCACATACTTCTGGACCTCTTTTATAAGTTCCTGTAGTTTCCTCACCAGCTCCATGTGACAGCTGGCAAGCTTCTCTGTTGACGTCTTGACCACATCCCACACCGGAGCAAAAGTCCTGGGATTAAACAGAAAATATCCCATCAGAGAATAAAAAAAACTTATATTAATGCAAACTAGTCTTCACTCTGGAAAGCTACAATGCTGTGCACACTCACCCGAGCTGAGAAAAGTTGCCCGCTGACTTGGCAAGTTTGGTCATAGACCTGGCATACGCCTCTTCAATAGTACTCCTAGAAGAGAGCAAAAATACACACACACATTCATTTTTAAATAGTTATAAATGATCACAAATAACAGTTTAAATAACCACACAGTTAACAATGCCATGTCACCAAAGTTAACATAACAATGCCCTTAAAATATGTAGTAACACAAAGTTTTTCAAAGTTTGTGCAACTAGGTTCAAATAGGGCATGTCCCCAGTGCCAGAGTAGATCCCAGCCAGAAACACCCACTAACAACTAGCAACATCAATGTTTGACTACATGCACAGTGTGAGGGAAATACGTGTGGTTCCTCTTGTGATGTGTTCATAAACATCATGTCGGAGCTGACAAGAGAATGAAAGCTAGTGTTTGAATCCCCTGCTTCCCTCAATTTCCCTTTTTATTCTTTGATTCTGCGGCAAAGTGACAGGAGTTAAAAAAAACGCACACACAAAAAAAGAGCTGCAGCAGTGTTATTGTGAAACTCTGAATTATGCATGTCTCATTTAGCCTGCCTCTCTCTGCGAGTCACGTCACAGGAGGGAGGTCGGCCAGGGGGAAACGGGACAAACGCGCACACACACAGACATGATAAACACACACAGGTACATGCCAGCAAACATAGATAGAAATGCATTATAGGAAACTTCCTCATCTCTCTGTGAGCCAAGAATGGAAGTTTATTTGTAAACCTTTTGCATTTTTACTGACAAAGTGCCAGGAGAAACCTCTGCCTTTTAATAAAAACATTTTAAAAAACGTCATAGTGTTTGTACAGCGCTTACCACAATGACATTTTTAAATGCGTGTTTTACTGAAAGATTCTTTTTACATTCTTTTATATTAGTCACACAAAGTGTTTGAACCAACATTCAGAGGTTCAAAAAGCCAGACAATGACATTTAGCTTTGTTCATGTTTCCTGTCTCATATGTTGGAGGTTGTATCCTATGTTAGTTGCCATGTACTATTCAAGAACCATGCGACCCTAATGTGGCTTAAGGCGTCTAACTCAATTGTAATTCTTAGGGCTAAGATCTTATTATTTCCATCTTTTTTTTATATGGATATGATAAATGGTTTTGACCTGAAGCAGACTGTCTCTGGTGAAAACATTGTTTTTTTAAATGTTGACCACATTTAAATCACAAATGGTCTTCAGGGTGAAGTTCATTCTTGATTTACGTCACACGCTGAAACTGCAGTGAGCTCACACAGTGACAAGATAAAGGATACTCAAAACAGCTAAACACTAAAGAAATTCTACTCAGAGCTCAAAAGTGAACAGTTATAAAGAGACTGGAGCTCACACACCGGTTTCTTTCAGGTCAGATAACTGCGATTCATCACTTCAAATATGTTGTACGGACCTGTGTGCACCTGTTGGAGATCGTTCATTTCTATTTAGCTCTTGTAAAAGAATGTTGTATTGAAAGAAATCTGGGGTATATTCAAACAGTGCATGTAGATTCTTTGTCCAGCAGAGGGAGCCATTGTGCAGTATTCTAAAGTACAAAACAAAACATAAGCCTGGGAACTGAAACACCCAAGCCATCCTAGAAACTTGGACAGTGTTTATCAAATTAAGCAAAAATAAGCAATAATCTTACAATACAAATAATTAAATAAATCTCTTCTTGTCTCTTTTACGGATTATGTATTGATTCATTTGTTTAGTATGAACAGACATTCCAGCTGACTGAATAAAGTGTTCATAATTAAGCACAGTTAAAAGCTTAAAGATGATTGATTAGAAAGAATGAGTCTGAATGGTTTGAACAGTGACAGAGCTTTACCATCGGTGCATTTGCAATTTTATGCAGAAATTCTTCAAAAAGAGAATGGTTTTAATTTAGGGCCCCTGCCACCATGAATAATGTGCTAAAGAAGCTTATTTTCCCTGTGACCCAGCCATTAAGGTAATGTAACATAATCTTAGCTTTGTTTATTATTAATAAGACTTGCAGTCTTCCAATAAATCCAGTAGAAGGAGCACATTAAACCCTGCACCCAGTGTTATAATGAAGTGTCTGAGTGACGCAGTGAGAGAGGTGGAATCCACGGTTGAATTCCAGCGGTCGCCCATCCATCATGCGGCAGGTTATAAACACACACCTCTGACACAGGGAGGCTAATCTCTGTGGATGTGGAAAGAATTTTGTAAAGAAGGTATTATTATGGTATTATCCAGCTGCAGACACTGGGGGTGTGTAACACAATGTCAGGGTAGAGATAGGCTAAGGCAGGGGTGTCCAACTCAAATACACAGTGGGCCAAAATTAAAAAATGGGTACTAGTCGAGGGCCGGACTGGTTCAATGTTTATTGCAAAACTTATTGAAATGAACTTATTGCACATATTAAACCTGGAACTAACAAAGCTTAAATGATTGCCTATAAAAACAACATTAAACATTAAATAATCAGTTGCATTCATTTCTTATGGCTCTATCTGCAGTCATTTCTTATGATTACATTTTTCCACAGGCCAACAACAGCTTAAAAAAAACAATTTCCCTCAAAGAAAAAACCAAACATGCCCTGTTGTCGTGAGAGAAAAAGTGCAGAAGGAAACATCCATTAAACTAATGGCGCATTTCCACTACACGGTCGGCCTCGGCCACACTCGGTACGGCTCGGTACGGCTTGGCCGCGTTGGGCCTTAACAGGGCCGACTCACTTCATGCTGCGCTTCCATTACAGTTTAGGAACTGGGGTAGTTACTATAGTAACGCAGTGTAGGCGGAGCCGTGACGTCATCTTCAATGAGAAATCCAGAAACACAACACAGCCGTTAGCTGTGAGCACTCAGAGCTCACAGCTCCTTATATATGTTCAGAAACTAGACAAAAGTTAAACAAGTACACACCACAGACTGCCTGTGTCATGGTGAATACAGTCGCTGCTTTATTTATGTCTGTATAGGCCGTTGTTGTGAGTGTGGACGGTCGGAGCATATACTGCGTTAGCTTAGCCAATCTCCATCTAGAAAAACACGAATTTTAAAAGGTTTTTCGCCTGCCGTCTGTCTGCAGACTTGACAAAGCATTAATTCATGGTTTTTACTAACCGGTATCAGTATGTTGTTACTTCGGCATCATTTTGAAACGTGTATTACAATTAAATCACGGTCAAATATGTCCATCTTGTTGTAGTTCTAGCCCTCTTGCCAGCGCTCCTCTCTCTAGTTTAGCATACTCAGCCCGACTCAGCCCTGTTTGTTGGCCCCGATAGAACCACAATTTTCTAGGGCCAGAAAAGAGGGGAAAAAGTGGCCCCACGCCGTGCCGCGCCGGAACGAGGCCTAGTGGAAGCACAACCAAAAAAGGGGACGGCACGACACGGCACGCTTAAAGCGAGCTACGCGCTGCAATGGAAATGCGCCATAAGTGTGCTGCTCTGTGATGCTAGTTCAAGCCAGATACTTGGCATCTCATCTTGGGTGCAAGTTCATCAATGTTTGGGGTCAGGCTCTGAGCTGAGGAGATCCTCAGGATGGAGTGAAGGTGTGCGTGCAATATACCCGCGGGCCAGATCTAATAGTAATTAGAAATTATCCTGCGGGCCGAAATTAAATCCACCAAGGGCCTGATTTGGCCCACGGGCCTTGAGTTTGACACATGTGGGCTAAGGTTTATGCTTCTTTCACAAAGAGGTTAAGTTTGCATAACATTACCACAATAATCTACACCCACCTTCAGCTGTTACATTTATTCGTCTTTCAATGCTTGACTTGTATGTGGATATATTTATTTATTTTGTACACAGGTCTCTTTACAACGAGCAACTGATCTTAACAAGACTACCTGTTTAAATAAAGGACTCAATACAAATAATTCATTACATTTACAGTTCATTTATCTGATAAATATTGATTACCTCCTTGAAAAAAAAGTCATCTTCATGAGAACTACAGCTGAAATGATTAGTTGATTAATTGAATAGTTAATCAAGAACAGACAAATTGACAGATAGTTTGATTATCACTAAATAATTTCAGGGATTTTTAAAGTAAAAGCAGTGCTATTTTTATATATTTATTTATGTGCCTTTTTTATATTGTTTTCTTTATTTTGTGTATGTTTGTATATATACATATATGTATATACATTTTTTGTGGTATATATTTTCATCTTTGAGACAGTGCAAAACTGAATTTTGGTCTCCCTGTTTCTAACACAATCACAGATATTGATAATAAAGTTGACTTGTATATTCTATATTCTTTGCTTCTTAAATATGTAAATATGAGAACTGTTTTTCTTTGTCATATATAGTGAAATTCATTTCTTTTTGGTTTTCTGACTAATTGTAGACTGAACCAATAATGAACAAATAATTACTCAAGCTATTGTTGGATGCTACTCAATCGGAAGCTGTTGGTACCTGTTCATGTGGATAGTTATGTAAATTGTAATCCCTGTAATGATGCTGTATGATGTCCTTTTGTTGTTCTGTTTATGTTTTTATGTTTCATGTGGAACCTACTTGATCAGAGGCCTGTACTACGAAGCTGGTTCAACCTAACCTGGATATGTTTGAGTTAGCCGGTTGGCCCAATCCAAAACATACGCGCTCTGGCTAAGCTGTACTACGACGCTGGTTATCAAGTGGATCGCTCAAGCCAGCCGTGTCCTATCTAGTTAGGTGCGCGTTCACATGAAAGGGGTGGTATTTGGAGCATTCGACCAATCTCAAACATGGACAAGTGTACTGACAGCGCAGCGTCATACTTCCTGAATGAAAAGTGAACTTTATTATTAGTCAAATATGAAGAAGTTAAACTTTAAACATCCATGACTTAAACACTTTATCCAGGATAAAAGCCACATAGCTGCACCTGCAAGGTGAATACAGCTGGTAAAATAAAAAGTGTTTGAATGCGTACATTAACAGGTTTATGATATCACGAGTGGATCTGACTTTAATTACATTTGACTCGAGTGTTTCGTCAACTTAATGTGTTGCTTAAAATAATACTTCTGCATACAGTATGTGACACTGTGAGTGTTGCACGGCCAGATACGGCTCAAGAAGCTGACTCAAATAAGGAAATATATGATACATTATGATGTGATATGATATGAATGATAATGGGACACATCGACGTCTGCACTCACAGTGCCGCGGACTGTACTTAATGTTACTCTGATCCGGTTACTTATGTTGTGGCAGATATTTAAGTAAGCTTTCTTAACGCTAATGTTATAATAGTCAGATTGCTCTGAAGATGGGAGGGGATATTCTATTCATTTTCACGTTCACACAGTCAGTTGATTTTTGCCGGCCGTCTTTCCTGCAACGGCAGTTTTTCTGTATTTCCTCTATCCTGTAATATGACTTGATAGCTTTAAACTCCGCACACGGAGCTCTGATTAGTCAGCAGGCGGTGCTTTCACTGAGTTGATCTCTTAGCCTGCAACCTAACCTCCTCCCGAGGAGGTTAGCCGCTCAGCATAAGTTACCATGGAGATCTAGCCCGCTAAAAAGAGAACCAGCGTCGTAGGACCGGAAAGCCAGAGTTTTCCCTGAAGTCAGCCGGCTAAGAGAAAATCCGGCTTCGTAGTACAGGCCTCTGGTCTCCCTTGAAAAAGAGATCAATGATCTCAATGGGATACACCTGGATAAATAAAGGTTTGAAATGAAATGAAATGAACTAGGAGGATTTATTCTTAAGGAACATAATGTAAAAAATAATAATGTTAGTTGAGGCTCAACTTGGAACAAACCCATATGGTTTGAGATGTATTTAGCAATCAGCCACATTCAGAGTGCTTTGAATAGCAGCTAAGTACTTGGGTGTTACTACAGGAACAGGATCTGCTGGTGCTGTTTGGGAAGTACATTTCAAATACAAAGAAAACCACACAACAGGTAATACATGTATTGAAGAAGCAACACATCACAGCAGGCTAACTTATTGTATGTACTGGATTAACATGTTGTTAACTACGTAGAGAGGGCCACCTCCTCAGAGCAAGTGAAGTGTGTCAGAGTGCCATGTCCTACCTTTCTCTGATGAAGTCCGTCAGCTCCTTGGAGGAAATCTGGCCATGCTTCATGTTATGGTAGAGCACATCAAAGCCATTGTTTTTTTCACCCTGCATTTCAAAGACAAAAAAGGAATGCAGATAGATAAGTCACAGCACCAAGTCCAACAAACAACAACTACTTTGTACTGACGTTACCGTGATGGCCTTTTCTAAAAGCAGGACTCTGATTGTCTGCATACCGTCCAGCTGCATGTGCAGAAGCCTCTGGTCAACCATACTCATCTTTGCCATGTTTGAGAGAAAGGTATGTTCAAAAAAAATGTATGAAGTGTTGTGGACTGGTCTATGTCTGGAGCAGATAATGTAAGAGATAGAGGTCTGTCCGTCTGTGTTCCCGTTACCATGCCACCGGGGGACGGGTGTCCAGTTGCACTGATGCCCTAAAAAATTGCAGATACCTCTGAATAATTTAAATTAATGAAACATTTTGGTTTTACATTTAAGATTGTTCTTAATAAATCACAAATGACCCTTAAAGTACAGATAGAGTGACACCCTCTTACTACTACTAAAACTACTACTACTGATATTAAATGTTTTAATAATGAAAACATATTATTTGTGTACCACATACTTATATAATCCTACAAACAGAATACACAACATATGAATGAAGGCAATTCAATACATCAATTAAATTGCAAGCAAAAGATCACAATGAATTCAAAGGACAATATTAACATAATAAATACAAATTAGTTTTTGTTTTTGTATTCTTTCACCAAGCTACCTCCTTTATCAGAGCTAGAACAATCAATCAGCCAGGCTGACTTGTTCATATTAGCTTATTGCAGACTTATAAAATGAGTCACCAGACTGTTTTTCCAACAGAAGGCCCTGATAAGTTTGTATTTGATATTGTGTATTGTTGTGTACGATATGTATTATGCTGACTATCAGCATGCTAAGACTGATAAGGCCTTTGCAGACTGTATCAATAAATCACCTTCAGATTCAGATAATAAACTCTGAACTTCACTATTACAGTAGATAGGCCAGGTGGCCTCTGCTAGAATGACTTTGATGGTGCTGGGTTTGTATTCAAGATAAGAGCTACGCTGATTTGGAGAACAGTTATTGACCTGACCCTACCTCTCTCAGTGTTTCCCCTAGGTTTACTGCTTTTAAATCCTCTGGAGCAGAGTGAGGAGCTGTGAATTATTGTTATTGATTAATGCATCAGTGTTTCTTAGGGTCAAAAACACTAAACTCACAACTTAAAATGAAAGCGTTTATTTAATAAAAGAGCACATGTTCAATGTGAAAAGTGACAGTAGATATAGATTAGTTGCAATTTGGTGCTATATATATATATATATATATATATATATATTAAAAAAAAGAAATTAGTTTAAAAAATAAAATTATAATTATTTTTTTTTTTTAAACACCTTGAATTCCAGGGGGGGCGTGGGGCGTGGGGCTCCGTTGGCGTGGGCGCAGCGCCCCTCCAAGACAATGGTAGGGGAAACACTGTCTCTGGCTGTCTGTTCACAGTAGTAGAGTTGACAGGGCAGGCACGTTGGTCATACAAATGATGTTCGGCTGAAGGAGCCGACTGTAGGCTTTGGTACAAAGCAGAGAAATAATTCTCCATTATTATAGACAGGTCCTCGTGGGGAGGGTATTTAGATTCTGTATCTTGATGGCCACCTCACAGAAGGCCTGACCTGGGAGCGGCATACTGACTTGTGGAAAGGCAGAGACACTTGAGAAAGTTCCTGGGAGTTTCTACTCCTGCTGCACTAAGCGTCTCCTTACTGTCTGGTGAGCCAACAGAAGAGGACAGGACCACATGTCCCTACACATAGGGGTTTGTTCTGCTGGACACACAATAGGCAGTGCTTGACCCCGCATAAGGATATTTACACCCTGTGATGGACAACAATAGTAAGGATCCGACCTTTCAGATCACAGCCTTTTCTCCCTGTTTAGGTCAAGAAGATCAAAAGTGAATACACCAGTTCAGCACTGAGAGGCTCAGCAATAGCTTGTAAATCAATATCACTAGGATCTTAATGAGGTCACTAACTTTAACCCCCACAGAACTCACTTTCTTTTATTTAAAACTTTTTAATGCACAAATTGCATGACATTTCATTGAAATTGTACCCGATTATGTAATACAAGTGGCCTACACGCCTGACACACCTAAAACACAAACACCTTCTTGGCATTTCCCAGAACAGAAGAATGACTTCCTCAATGAGCTCCTTCAGGCCGTCTATTTAGTGACAGAGGGAATAGAACCATGGCTTGAAGCTAGGAAGTGCCTTTAAAACCCTTCTCTCTCTCTTCTAAAGCAAATGGTAAAATATAGTAGATTCTGCTGAACAGCATGCAAAGAACTGAACAATAGCTCTACCCACATGCAGACAGATAAGGAAAGTCATATGTTCAGTGAAATGTAATCATGATAACACAGCAGTTTATCCTCATTCTTGTCTAAATCTGGCAGCAAACTTTGTTTCACCTCAACCCGAGAGTCACAGATACTTCCTGGTTCCTGGAGCAATACGCTGTCAGCAGTTCGGTAAACAGGCAGCTTTAACAAGTCCTTGTTTTTGCACATTGACAAAGAGTAAAGGTCAAAATGAACCTCAGAGGTAGCTCTGATATAACTCTGTTTAGAGAGCAAATAGACATTAAAAAGAAAAGCCCCCTCTCTGGGCTACAGCTCACTGACCTATATTCAACCCCAGCGAGCAGACCACTGAGATTAGCTTCTTGTTGTAACAAGATAACCGTAACAAAGTAAAAGTTTAGCAGTAACCCGGCCTGCAGAAAACAGCATGATATGCAAACTTCTGCACGCATTAGATGTCAAGACGGGAAGGTGAGGCACCGACCATAACAGCTGACCTTATGTCCTCCATAGGGCTGCACGATTTGGGGAAATCATCTAATTGCAGATATTCCGATTGCGATTGGATTTGCGATATTTGTTTTTAAGCGACCCAACGGAAGTTTATTGTAAAATGCGGCCATATCTCCGGCTAGGAAGGTCGTATCAACGTGCTCCCGTCTCTAGCACCCCCGCAGCCCGAGCTACGAGTGAAAGAACTAAACTTACATGAAACTTCCGTTGGGTTAAAGTCAAGCTTCAGTTTAAGATTCACCCTGTAATAGAAACATGTGATGGAGCATTACTAACCTGACTCAGATGCTTCACCAAACCATCTAGGAAAGCTCCATTGGAAGCCATTTGGAAAAGGGCAGGCACTTTCAAATATACTTGGCAGGTGATTGGATCAATCTGTCTATCACCTTCTATCATGGGCCACTTCTGATTGGTTAACAATGGCTGGTACATGTGGAGCACAGCACTTCTGATTGGTGTGGATGACTGACACACAAGAAAAAAAAAAAGAAAAAAAAAAGTTTAAAAAAAGAATCGCAGGCTTTGTGATTTGATAATCGCATCATTTAAAATCGCATCATTTAAAATCGCATCATTTAAAATCGCGATTTCGATTTAAAATCGATTAATCGTTCAGCCCTACTCCATTATACTGCCTAGATCAAAAGGAACTCCGGTTGCAGGACATAAGTAAAATATGCCATATGGTTGTTGAATACAGCAATAATGCTAATATTTGAAATCAAATTACAGATCATAAAGTGTACTCAATTTGTTTTGTCTGCTGCTTTCAGTAGCCTTTATTAAAAAAAAAGAAAGGAGAACATTTAAAAGAAAAAGATTTCTCCAACTTTCTGTTATTGAACAAATGAAACATTAAACTGAACACAGAAGGCTCCAAACCACAACAATCCCCAGGTCCAGTAACCTATACAGTCTAAGGTGCAGAATTGCAGTCTTTCTAAATGTGTTCATCACACAAGTTGACATCACAGTGACGATTACAAATACAAAATACTGTGCACCTATACGAAACACAAAGAGAGACAAACATTGACAATTGGCCAATCAGTCGACAAAACAGGGAAGTGACGAAAAGTGAGTGAAAACACACAGCGGCCCAGAACAGAGCAGAACAGGAAGAGACTCCATTCTGTGCAACAACTAACTGTGCTCATGTGGAATGTAATATCAATGAGTACAAAATGTAAAATAAAAACAAACACAGGAAACTGCTCGGGGCGTTTTCAGCAGCCATGTTACAATATCAATTCTGCAAAAAAGATAATCCTACAAAGCAGGAGGCAAGAATGAACCCCCTTGAAACCAACCAGAAATGTCTAAGAATTTGAAGTTGAATAGAAATGTCTATATGTGTCTACTGGCTAGTTCAGGATTGTACAACAGGGAGAATTGGAGAAGTGATACTGGTGTGTCGCACAGTTTCTCAATGTCCTATTCTGGACACTCATTGATGAAAGCCTCCCTACTGGGTGTTTAATATTCCAACCACACATTGTGAAATTCAGAAGTGGTCTTTATGCTTGGATTTAGATGGAGAGGTTTTAAACTCCCTGCCCCACCCAAAAGAGAGGATAACATGCTGAGAGGTTAGCACACATGTCACTCACAGTCTGTTTCAGCAAAAGCACAGTATGCCGCTGAGACAGCTTCCAACAGACTGAATAGTGTCAGCTGTTCCATATCCAAACACTGCCAATATTAACACACAAACAGATTGCTTTAGTTTTCTCTTTAGCACTGTCCCATCTAGCAAATCAATTTAATAAGCATGGTATCAAAATGGCAACATTTGCCAAATGAAAAAAATCTAAGGGCATGAAGTTTAAATGCTTTCGAAAATACATCATTTGGGGTTTTCCCCTTTCCTGAATTGTGCTATAAAGGTTTTTGTGCATCTACAGGGTATATGCAGGAATCCTGAAGTCAAATGTAATACCTTTTAAGACCTTTTTTAAGACCCTTTCCATACATTTTAAGACCTCATCGCCACTTGGAGTTTTAACGGCTACATTGGCGACACACTTTACCTCACATTTACTATATACAGTATTGATTGTCCTTCCTCCTTATCTTCCAACCATTTGGACGCAGACTTGCATTTCCCCATAACGATGTTGTTTAACAACCGGCGTAAACGGACCTTTGCGCGCTATCAAGCAGTGAG